CAGTTTAGCTCCTAGATATTTACCCTGTGGATATGTTCACACGTGAGCAAACAATGGTATATACAAGAGGCGCTGTTTGTGATAGAAAAAGACTTAGAAACCACCTAAATGCCCACAATAAGGGGCTGGTTCAAAGGTACATCCACACAAGGGAATGCTATGCAGTTAGTTTAAAAGGAAGCTCTTTCCAATAAGGACATTAAAAGGTGTTTAAGGACTTCCCTGGTGGTGCAGTGGATAAGAATCCGCCTGCCAGTGCAGGGGACACAGGTGTGAGCCCTGATTCGGGAAGATCCCACATGCCGCGGAGCAACTAAGCCCATGCACCACAATTACTGAGCCTGAGCTCTAGAGCCCGCGAGCCACAACTACTGAGTCTCCGTACCACAACTACTGAAGCCGGCGTGCCTAGAGCCCACGCTCCTCAACAAGAGAAGCCACTGCAATGAGAAGCCCGCGCACCGCAACGAAGAGTGGCCCCCGCTCACCGCAACTAGAGAGAGCCCATGCGCAGCAACGAAGACTCAACGCGGCCAGAAATTAATTAATTTTTAAAAAAGATGTTTACGATTATTAGCCATCAGGGAAGTGCAAATCAAAACCACAGTGATATCATTCCAAACCCACTAGGATGGCAATAATCAAGAAGACAGATAATTAAGTGTTGGCAAGGATATGGAGAAATTGGAAACCTCATACCCTACTGGTGGGAAAGTAAAATGGTACAGCCACTTTGAAAAAGAGTCCAGCAGTTCCTGAAATGATTAAAAACAGAATTAACTTATGATCCAACAATTCTACTCCTCGGTATATACCCAAGAGAATTGAAAACATACGTCTACACAAAATTTGTACGTGAATGTTCATAGCAACGTTATTCGTAATAGCCAAAAAGTGGAAACAACCCAATGTCCACACAATGCAATATTACTCATCAACAAAAAGAAATGAAGTACTGCCACATGCTACAACAGGGATGAACCCTGAAAACCTGCTAAGTGGAAGAAACCAGACACAAAAGGCCACATATTGTATGATTCCATTTATATGAAATGTCCAGAAGAGGAAAATCTATACAGACAGAAAGCAAATTACTGGTTGCCAAGGGCTTGGAGCAGGGGGTGGGGTAGAGTATGAGAGGACTTGGGGATTGATGCTTAAGGAGTGTGGGTGTTTCTTTTCAGGATAATGAAAATATTCTAAACTTGCGGTGATGGACACAACTCTGTGAATAACCAAAAGCCACTGAAGAGTGCATTTTAAATGGGTGAATTGTCGCATATGTGAATTATATCTCAATAAAGTATTTTTCTTAAGTTCTTTATGTACTGATATGATCTCCAGGATACATATTAAGTAAAAAAAGCAAAGTGTAAAACTATCATATATTCTACCATCTGAGTGAGAAAATATAGTTATGTTTATAAATGAAATGTTTCTGGAAGGACACATAAAACCCCAGTAACACTGATTGCTCCTGGAGAGGGGAACTGGATGACTGAGCCATCTAGAGTAGGAGAGAGAATTGGTTTTTTTAAACTGGTAATAGATACCAAGAAAGTATTAAAACTTTGAACACAATGAACACCTGTGTGCCCACCACCCAACTTCAAAAACCACTACCATACAGTTGGACCCCATGTGCACCCCTCCAGTCACATCCCGTCCCACCCCTGAACTGATCCACTGTCCTACATTTGGAGTTTATCATTCCCACGCATTTTATACTTCCATTACACTCTAAGTATGTATAACCAATATGCATTATTTTGCTTTTTTTGTTGTTGGCCACGTGGCTTGCGGGATCTGTTCCCCGACCAGGGGCTGAACCTGGGCCACGGCAGTGAAAGCCCAAAATCCTAACCACTAGGCCACCAGGGAACTCCCTATTTTGCATATTTTAAAACTACACATATTCTTCTGTAATTTGCTTTTATCACCCAATGTTTTGCTTTATGCATATTGATATGTACAACTTTAGTTCATTTTCATTGAAGTGTAATACTCCACATCCAATACATAATGTAATACATCCAGTATCGATGTACTGGATTGGCCCAAAAGTTCGTTCAGGGTTTTCCTTGTCACCTTACCAAAACCCGAATGAATTTTTTGGCCAACCCTATATAATTTTCCAAGGTGTTCACAACATGATCTCTCAGCCCATATGCTCTTCTTACAATGAGACACTGACATTCCTGTCACTGAGAAGTAAGGCCTATGGTCCCTCTTGAATCTAGGTGGGCTAGTGACTATGGCAGAAGTGAAGCAATGTGAGTGACTTCCAATGCTAGGTTAGAAAAGGCAATACAGTTTTCCCTGAGTCTCTTGAGAAGCTTGCTCTTTGAACCCAGCTGCCATGTTGTAAGGAAGCCCAGGCCACATGCAGGCATTCTGGCTGATAGCCCACACTCAGGTTTTATCTAAGTGTCAGTATTGGTTAACCACCAGATGACTGGGGAAGCTTTCAAGAGGACGCCAGCCCCAGCCAAGATCTTACAGCAAGCGCATGACAGCACCCAAGTTATAACAGTCTAATTGCGCAAGTCAGCACCCAGAGCCGTAAGAGATACTGATTATTGATCTGAGCCACTAAGTATTGAGGTGATTCACTATGCATTAGGTAATTAGAACATCTATGTCACAATCTGCCCATTCTCCAGCAGATGGATATTTGGGTTGTTTCCAAGTTTTTTATGGCATTACAACAGTGATCTTATGAACATTCTGATACATGTCCTGTGTGCATGTGTAAGCTCCTCCAGAAGGGTAGTTACTGGGTTGGAGAATATGTCATCTTCAATTACACTACAACCTATCAAACTATTTTCCAAAATGGTTGATACCAACGTACATTCCAACAGCAGTATAGACGCTCCTATTACTCCAAATCTTCCCCAACACTTGAGACTTTAATTTTTTTTTGCTAGTCTTTTGCCCAGTAGGGCACAAAACAGTCTTACTGTATATATCCTTTTGTACCTTTGAATTGTACCTTTGAATCTTACTGTATATATCCTTTTGTACCTTTGAATTTTGTGTTGTTTGCATGAATTAATGCAAAATAAACATTTAACTGTATGCTAATAAATTACTGCTTTTCTGTTTTAAGCATGTTTTATATATTGGGGTTCCCCCGTTACTTTTTTTCTTTTTTGGCCGTACCACATCTCTCATTATCCAGCAGGCTAGCCCAGGCTCATCTACACAGTGGTGGCTGCAGGGTTCCCAAAAGCAGCACAGGACGGCAGGCCCCAGTGCACAAAGCACCTCTTAAGCCCTATCAGCTTAGCAGAGCACGTATTTTACACTTCCTAGGTGGTGGTCCATATTAGCTCTTAGCATCCCCTGATCCGCTTCCTCCAGGGGTCTCCAATTAGAGGAGTCCAACTGCTCTTAATTCCTTTTTGGAATGGGGTGATATATGTATAAGTAAATCAACTGAAGAGTGCCAATAATCTTGGGGGAGAACCTCATTCAGATCTGCTAGTGACCCAATAACAGAGTTTGCACTAAAGTGATATGATTGGAGTTCTTCAAATTCACCCCTGAATCGACCCCACCTTTCTGCATTGCAGCACTACTTGTAATAACAAGGAACTGGAAACAACCTGAATTCCCTTCCAAAAAGGATTGGGTAAGTAAGCTAGGCCGTTAACGTGCGTGTGTGCTCGACTGTGTGCACTGTGTGTTCCTCTTGTATGTATGTGTGAATGTATGTGTATGTGTGTACACGCGCACGCACACACACACATCTCTGGAAGGCTTATCCAAGACACTGGTAACACTAGTGGCCTCTGAGGAGTGGACTGGGGAGCTAGGAGACTTGGGAAGAGACTTTTCACCATGAAGCCCTTTGTATCTTGGCATTTTGCACCATGTGTATGTATTATTTATGCTCAAATACGTTTCACAGAACCAGAGAAAAAATAATGCACCCCTGTGGGCCACAGCTGTTGGGGCTGGTTTGGAGGAAACGCCATATCAAATGAGTGGGACACTGGCACTCTGGAGCGGCTGGCTAGGAGGCCAAGGAGGTGTCCGGCTCCGCCCTGTCTGGCAGCCGGTGGCAGGATGGGCATGGCCCGAGGTCTCCCAGAGCTGCAAATGCTCCCTAGGGTAAGTTGGTGGGGGCAGGGTAACATGTACACACAGACAACTATAGCAAGTCCAAAACCACTCTCCTATGACCCTACCCTCCCCTTTCCAAAAGGGCCTTGTCTCAAATCTGCGGTTGAGGCAGCACAGGGCAGGGGCTAAAGGGCGAGGCTCCTGGCCACCTCCCTGATGGCAAGCCCAGGGCTGCCACTTCCCAGCTGGTGAGGACTTCAGCAGTTCGTTCCCCTCTGCGCCTCTGGAAGGAAGCAAGAGTGACTCCACTAACCTCATCAGCTTTTCGTGAGAAGTGAGCTATACGTGCTTTTATATCATTTCAGTTCCTATTACACATCAAGAAATTACCCCGTGCTCTTAAATTTAGTAACTGGAACTCTTCCAGTTAACCCTGGCAGTTGCTAAAATTATCCATGAAGTGGAACTCAAGGAAATTACTGGGGGGGAGGGGAGGGCGGTAAAAAGAGGAGTTGAAGATCAGCAAGAAACCTGTGTATATGTGTGAGCGCCCCCTTGTGGCCCTGACACAAAAGGGCGGCCTCTGGAATCTTCTTGACATTGCCGTCCTTTGCCGTCCTTCTGAGGTCCAGAAGGTCCACGAGGGTCTGGCCTGGGCCTCACCAGGAAAGGGGTCTATGGGTCCTCCCTCTACCACTCTACCACTGCCCCTCATACTGGAGTCCGGCTCCTCACACCACAGGCCCAGTGCTTGGGATGCCGCCTGACACACAGTAGCCTCCCCAAATGACATTACTAAAAACCTAAAAATAAGTGGATGATCACTTACGAAGACAAAAACAGGTCTGGAGATGGACGATGGTAATGGTGATACAACAATACGAATGTACTTAATGCCACTGAACAGTAGCTGAAAAACGGTTCAAACGGTAAACTCTGTGTTATGTATATTTTACCACAATGAAAACAAACAAAAAAAATGGATGAGTTCTAATCTCAGCTTTACCTGCAGTGAGTTCTCCTCCAAACCCCTTGCCCACTCCTTGGTAATCTCCTTATCAGATCCTGTTCTCTACATGGGAAAAGGGCCCCGACTCCCTTCTGGGTCCCCTCCTCTCTCTATACCCTTTTCCAGCTGGTATCGCCAGGCCCTCGGCTTTGAACACGGCTGTACTCTGAGCACCCCCCAAGCTGTCGCCCCAGCAGCCTGCTCACCTCTCAGTCAACGCCTGACACCTGAGCGCCCTCCCGCCCCAGCCGGCTCCACAAACAGCACCTTCCTCTAGATGCTCAAGTCCTCCATCTAGGTGTGATCCAGCCCCTCTCCTTGCCCCAATTTCCAATCCACCCGTGTGGAGAGTCCTGCTGCCCCTTCCGAAGCGCACACAAGGTCCACCCACTGCCTCCCCCACCCACCATCTCTCCCCACGCTGCCTCCCCGCCTCCGCCCCTGCCCTCCCGGCAACTTGTCCTCCTCACAGTGGCCCAAGCAATCTTCGTAAAAGGCAGCTCAGACCATCACTTGCCTGCTTTAAACGCCCCCAGACTCCTCAGCACTCTTGGGAGGAGGTCCAGATTCCTCCGGCCCCTCACTCACCTGCCAGCCACGCTGGTGTTCTCCGTGTTCACTGTCCCGCCTCAGAGCTGCGGCCCTGGCTGTTTCCTCTGCCTGAACTGCACACAGGCCACCCTACAGGTCACCTCCTCTGAAAGGCCTTCTTGCCCCAAACATCTAAGAGGCCCTGGTCACTTGCAGTCACCCTTCCAATTCTTTGGGCACCCCCTGAACAGTACACTTAAAAATGGTTCAAATGGCAAATTGTGGTTTACAGATTACCGCCTGTCTCCCTGGCTAGAGAGGTCAGCCACGCAGGAAGAGACTTGTCTGCCTTGCTCATGGATGGATCCCCAGCTCCTAGAACAGGCCTGGCACAGAGCAGGTGCTGTGCAGTGGGGAGTAGATAAACAGTCAAATCCACAGGCACCCGCAAGTGAAGCCTGCGGTCTGGAAAGCCATCCACAGGCAGAGGGGCAGAAACGGGAAATCCGTGGAAGGGGCGGGCAGAGGGACAGAAGCCCTGCGCGTTGCCGAGGGGAGGAGGAGGCCCAACTAGATGATGGCCATGACCGTGACTCCCTTCACCTCGGGGCCTGCAGCAAAAACACGGCCCACCTATGTATGTGGGGAGCTTGACCCTCAGAGACGAGGCCCAACCCTTCGTGGGTGCCCCGCCCGCACTGTGCTTCATGCAGAAAAACAGTCCTGCGACTCGCCCTGAAGGAGGGGAGGGAAACAGTCTGAACGTCACAAAAATATATTAAAATAGCTGTTTTCTTCTCTCGGTGCTGGCTTCCCTTCTTAGTGCCCCTTACCCCCCACCCGCCACCGACTTTCAGGGAAAAAGGTGCCCAGGCAGGTGCCCCGGCTGCAGCCTGGGGTCTGGGGCGGTCCCTCCAGCCTAGGAGTGACGGCGGCTAACAGTCTCTACAGGCTCGACGCCACCGCCACCGACGAGGGGGCCGCTGGGAGGCCGGAGGTGCAGGAGGGTCAGGCAGGACGCAGCGGACAGTCGGGCCTTGCCACAGGGACAGAAAACAGAAAAGAAATGAACAGAGTGAAGAGACGGAGAGAGAGAAGTCAAAGCATCGGGGGGAGGGGGCAGAGGAGGGAGGGAAGTGAGGAAGCCAGGGGGGTGGGGGATATGGGAGCCCCTTCAGACGACACCCACCCTGGGGGACAGGGAGGCCCGGAGCCGGGGTTTGAGGCAGCAGATGTTGCTGAGAGGGAGTATGGGGAATGGAGGACAGGAAAAGGGCACTTGGCACTTGGAGAGGTAGAAAAGTGTGTCCTGCCAAGGCCACGGTCAGAGAGGAGAGAACAGAGGACGCGAGAGAAGGGAAAGTCCCAGAGCGGCAAGGCCGGGCCACAATGACCGTCTCAGACTCAGAAACACCGGGCGAATCCCCAGGAAGCTCAGGCTGGCGGAATGCCTGAGGGAGACAAGCAGTGTCACCCGGCAGCCGGCAGGGGGCGTGCGCGCGCCCTCGCTGAAGACTCTGATGGAGCCTGGAGGCTGGAGAGGGGCCTGCGCCCCGCCCTTGGGCTAGAAGGTCCTGCGGCCCAGTCTTTTGAACACGCTCACAGTGCCCGCGTGGTCCATCTGGGCACCAAGGCCCTCGCTGGAGCTGCTCCCCCGGGGCCCCACCAGAGTCCTCTTAATGGTGACCTTGACCTCAGCCGAGGACTTACTCTTGGTGCTCGTGACCTGGCTGTCCTGGGCCTCTGGCACGAGGGCAGCCTTGCCCAGTCTCTGGACGATGCTGACTTTGGATAGGGACTCCGGCTTCCTCTCGAGCCCAGGTTGTGAGGAAAATGCCAGGCGCCGCAGCGTTGGGGCAGCGGCCGTTGCCACCGAGCTTGTGGCCTTGGCTTTGACAGTTAGTGCGGGCTGGGGACTGGCTTTGGCTGGGGCCCGGCCTAGCTTCTTCAGGACCCCGGCATACTGCAGGACAGAGCTGCTGCTGTCGTTGTCACTGTCCCAAGCCAGATCCTCGTCGGTCTCTGGGGTGGCCCCCAGGCGGCTGAAGACTCCTGTGGGCTGTGGAGGTCAGAGATAGAACAAGTGAGTCACTTAGTCGCTCAACATGCATTCACAGAGAGCTGCCTCATCTGTGCCTACGTCACGGGGCTCACAGTCAGGAAAAACACCCATCGGTGACGCACTAGACAGTGATCAGAGTCATGAGAGGGCAAGCCCAGGGAGCTGGAGGAGGCCAGGAGAGGAAGGCTCCCTGGAGAGGGACATCAGAGATGAGATCTGAAAGCCGAGTGGAAGTGAGTCGAATAAAGAGGGAGCGGGAGGGGAGGCGAAAGGGAAGACCATTTGCAAAGGTCTACAGGCGAATGTGAGAGAAAAGGCAAATTCGGTCATTTGCTCCACAGACATTCTCTGAGTCCCAGGTCAATACCTGGCCCTGTGTTGGGCAGTGCTGGGGACCCAGTGGTGACCAAGACAGGCCTGGTCCTGCTCTCAGGGGGCTCACAGTCCAGTGGGGAAAACAGACCCAGCATCGGATACAGCACAAGTAATTCTCTAATTACGAGAGGGAATTCCCTGGAGGTTCAGTGGTTAGGACTCCGCGCTCTCACTGCCAAGGGCCCAGGCTCAATCCCTGGGAATTAAGATCCCATGAGCCTTAATTAGTGTTCTTGGGAGGAGAGGGGAGCGCTGGAGAGCAGGGTACAGGGAGGCCTCACCTCCTCTCAGAGTTCAGGACAGCCTTCTCTGAGGCATCAACGTTTAAGAGAGTAAAGAGTGCCGTCTAAGTCCCCAAGACAGGAATAAGAATCATATTTACGGCACACTCACTACGTGCGAAGCTCTTTCCATGGCTGCACCTTCAAGCCACGTGATCCTGAGTGCTATTATCACACTCATGATAAGATTTAGGCAGTGAGAAAAAGCCAGAGTGGGTGAGCCCTGGTGAGCAAGGAACAAAAGGCAGCTGGCGAGCTCCACCAGAGTTACTCAAAGGTGCCACTTAAAGATGCTCACCAGGGCTTCCCTGGTGGCACAGTGGTTAGGAATCCGCCTGCCAACGCAGGGGACACGGGTTCGAGCCCTGGTCCGGGGACATCCCACGTGCCGCGGAGCAACTAAGCCCGTGCGCCACAGCTACTGAGCCAGCGCTCTAGAGCCCGTGAGTCACAACTACTGAGCCCCCATGCCACAACTACTGAAGCCCACGCGCCTAGAGCCCATGCTCGGCAACAAGAAGCCACCGCAGTAAGAAGCCCGCGCACCACGACAAAGAGTAGCCCCCGCTCGCCGCAACTAGAGAAAGCCCGTGCGCAGCAACGAAGACCCAATGCAGCCAAAAATAATAAAATAAAATTTTAAAAATTTAAAAATAAATAAATAAAGATGCTCACCACTGCACCCAGACAGCCCCCGCGCTACGCAGCTATACCTCACTCAGTCCTCACGACCACGCTGTGAGGTACTATACGGAGGAGGAAACTGAGGTACAAAGGGCTTAAGTGACACAGTCAAGGCCATGCAGCCAGGCGGTGGCAGAGACGGATTTGTGCCAGGCGATGGGCTCAGGCTGCGTCTCCCAAGCACATGCCGTGGTTAGGCCTGCGGGACCGCAGGTGGAGGAAGAAGAGCGGGCTGTGAAAAGCCTCTGAAGGGTTTCCCGAGGGCGAGGGGGGAGGGCCTGTCCTGGAGGCAGCACGTGCTGCCGCTGTGGGCGAAGGGCTGGAGGGGTTCACAGGAGCTGTGCAGAGACCAGCTAGGAGGCCACTGCCCTACGCAGGCAGGGAGAGGTGGCAGACAGGTGGGGACCAATGGCCCCATCAGACTCAAGACTGCCTGGAGTGGGGACGGTGGGGCACCCGAGACAGGGCCCAGGGGACGTTTTGCTTTGGGGAAAGATGCTGAGGACAGTTTGGGGACATGGTGGTGGGAGGGGTCCGAGGGCGGCATCCATGAGTTGCCAGACCCCCGGGGCTGGAAATCGGGAGAGAGGTCGGGATAGAAGACAGACAGGGAAGCCACCAGTGCAGAGAAGGGCACTGGGCCTGGAAAGGTGGGTGAGACAGGGTGAGATGTATGTGGGAAATGCCAGGAACAACACCCAGGGAAGACGAGAATTTGAGAGTCCCCAGTGGCTCCCCCATTTCCAACTCACTTTATTCCCCATCGTCGTGTCTGCCTTGGTCTCGGCGCCAAGGCGGTCAAACACAGACGTCCTGTGGAGACCTGGGAGGGAAGTGAGGCCATGAGCCAGCGCCTGCTGGGTGGCCCCTGGGGGCCCAGGCCTGGCTGAGCGCCGTGCAGACAGGGAGGGGTCGACACAGCCAGCCCAGACCCCAGGCAGCTCTGGTCCAAGCAGGCACCGACTGGGCCCAGTTAGGTTTTACGTCTGTGTTGTCGGCTAACACTGACCTTAGCCCACACACTTCTGGCTAGTGCCAAATGTGGGAAGGATCCACTAAAATGGACACTTCCGGTCCTCACACCTTAGTACCAATTCATGAAGTGTGTGTGCGGGAAGAGTTCTTAATCCCTTCTGGTTCCTTTCCCTATTTTGGGGGCCATGGGCCTCTCAGAGAACCTGATGAATGGTAATGCTCTCCCTAAGTTACAGCCTGAAGAGCCACTAACAGGAGAATGCTTACTAGGTTACAGCACAGAAGTACTATGAAAATATTCAACGACCATTAAAAAGAATGAAGAAGATGGAACGATCTTCAGTAAAAAAGTTACAGAACAATACATACAGGACAATGCTATTTGTGCTTAGAAAGAAAAAAATGCCTGGATATGTGTAACTGTACAAACAGATGCATTTACATTCACAGATGCTGGTCTGGAAAGGTTAACAATACGTGTGGGATACGGGAGTGAGGGGAGAGAGTTTGTTCTTACTGTACATGCTTCTGCATCCGCTGGATGTTTTTCCATGAGAACGTTTACAATATTCTAAATGGAACACTGTAAGGAAGACCATCTCTGTACCACCAGATTCAAATCCCAGCTGTGGACTGAATCTCAACCAGACACCTCTGGCTCGTAACGACGGTTCCTACTGTCTTGGGCACCTGCCCTCAGCCAGGCACAGTCACTCATTTAACAGGCAGGCTAGCACTGAATCCGTGCCACGGTCCCTCGGGGAAGAGGCGGCAGCTGAGGCACCGAGGAGCCCTGCTATGCTAACTGCAGGACAAGAAGACAGAGGCAGTGATGCGTCCTCCTCTACTATGGCCACCATCACTGTCCCCTCCGTCCAAGGCCCCCTGGACCCCATCAGAGCCTGCTTCTGGGCCACTGCCTGTAGGACGTGACCAACCCTGCAAGATGCAGCAAAAGGGAAACACAGTCTGTGCCGCCCACTCCCCACCGGGGCCAGTACCTTTCGCTGCCTGCTGCTGCTCCAGGATCTTACGGGTCCGGGCAGTGGTGCCTTTGGGCATGTTGATAATGTACTTCCCCTCCATCTCGGCCGTGACCCGGCGCCGCTTGGTGGGACCAGTCAAGCTCTCCTCCTCCTGGCGGGCCAGGGCTGCTGGGGGAGGAGGGGGTGGTGAGCGTCTTCTGGGATGGAATGTTCTCCTGGGGTGGGGGCTGGACGCCCTGCAAAGGGCACACACGTGCCCTTTATCGCCACGCTTTCACGTGACTGGAATCCCTTATCCTCCCAGCCACCCCCAAGGCCACTGGCTGAACCACCGGGAAACTCAGGGGTCTGGGCACAGTGGGGTCGCAGAAGGCTGTGGCGGGCCTCCCAGGCTCTCTGTGGCTCTGGCCCTCTGTCCCCCAGCAGGCTCACCTCCCAGCCCAGGCAGAATCCCCCTCAGATGGGGAAACTGCTGGGTGGTGGAAAAGCCATCTAGGTGGTGCTTTCACAGGTGTAATCACTTTTTAAAAATTAGTCAAGGTATATACTTACAATCTGTGCACCGTGCATAAGTAAATTACACCTCAATTTAAAAGAAAGACTCTCCTCAAATGTGTTGAGTTGAAGAGAGCCAGTCCCTCCCAGGCTCCCCATCTTTTCAATACTTTAGAAATGAATTTTAACTTCCTTGCTCATGGCACATAAATCGAAAGATCAGAAGGAGGATGAGGCACTTGCAGACACACGTGGTCAAAAGGGGGCACGTGTGATGGAGGTGTACGGGGTGTGATGGGGCTGGGGGCCAGGACAGCCAAGCCCCCACCCTGGGCCTCTGTTTCAACTTGGGCCAAGATCACTGCTGTGGGGATGGGTCCAACAAAGGCAGGAGAGTGTGATGGACAGGAGGGCCTGGAAGCCCAAAGGCCGGAGTCCCATTCCCAGCTTACCAGCTGAGACCTGGAAGAGGAACGGCAGCCAAGCATGGAAAAGTCTGTGGAAGAGGAAGGTGTGGGAGAAGGGAACATCAGGGCAAAGGCCCCACGACGGGAAGCAGCCTGGAGGGGAACCGAGGCAGCAAGCGAGATGTGAACCCACGTGTCGCAGGGCCCAGTAAGGCCATGGGGGAAGATGACCTTATTAGTGGAACAATGGGAAGCCCTGGAGAGTTCTAGACAAGGGTGTGAAAGGATCAGATTGAAGGTTTTAAAGGATCCCTCTGGCCGCTAAGAGGAAAGGTAGCTTCTTTACCTTTGACCCCAGGCATCAAGCACAGGGCCGGGCACCACTGCGGGGCTCAGTGACCATCTGTTAAAAAAGACTGAACCACCCATAGTCAACAATACTGTACTGTACACTTAAAATTTTGTGAAGAGGGTAGAGCTCACGTTAAGTGTTCTTACCACAATAAAATAAGAAGTACAAAAAGACTGAAACAGCCACCGCATGAGAACTGCAGTGCACCCACGCTTAAGGACACCATCTCGAGCGCTTCCAACCATCCTCTGGGGCGGGTGTCACCAGCCCCCTTCTACAGTGAGGCCCACAGAGGTGCAGTGATCTGACCAAGTCTGAACACTCTGGACACCTTGTAGCCTCCAAAGCACCCTGCAACGTTGGGAGCACGTCCCCCAAATACCGTCTGCCAACCCACATTCGCCCCCAGCTCCTCCCACCACCTGCCTGAGTCCCCTCACCGGCAGCCTTGGCACTCTTTGCTGCCATCTTGTTGGACACAGTGACAGAGATCTTGGAGGTGCTGGTGTCCGGCCGCCTGGGGGGAGTGCCAGGTGGGGAGTCTCGGTTCAGGCTGTTGGTGATCATCCGGGAGGCGGCTGCCAGGAGGAAAGAGGAGAGTCCAGTGGGGCGGGGCCCTGGGAAGGGGTCAGGATGGGGAAGGCAACCTTGGGACCGCAGCATGGGGATAGGGCAGCCAGAGGCACCCTGTGGCTGCACTGTCAAGGCAGGCATGCTTGGGGTGGGCCTGTCTTCCCAGTAACTAGCCCGCCCCTCCCTGCCCTGGGGGCCTTTCCTGAGGCCCCAGACCAGATGGGTTCCTAGCACACTTCACCTATCAGTTACCCAGCCCTGCACTGAGCATTTCCCTCCCCTCTCCCTCCACCACGCTGGCCTCCAGGATCTTCCTCGCTCAGCAAGTACACGCCCACTCAGGGCACTTTGCTGTTCATAGGTCTGGCGTGCAGCTCCCCCAGTAGCAATGGGCTTGCTCTGTCTCTGCGTTCAGGTCTCCTCTCAGACGGCCTCTCCTCAGAGAATACTTCCCTGCCCTTATTACTGCTTGACATGAAAATTACATTTGTTTGTTTACTGGTAGACTCTCCCACAAGACTATACTTATAATAACACAGAGGAGACACTGTCTGTTCATCGCTGTATCCCCAGTGCCAACCACAGTTTCTGGTACTTCACAGGTCTTCAGTAAACATCTACTGAAAAGATGAACATGGTCACCGAACCTCCCAACACCCCTACTAGACAGGCTTCACTGTAAACCAATTTTATAGATGAGGAAACTGAGACTCGGGGAGTGGGGTCACTCAGCCAGGGCCCTGGGCAATGTGGGTCTGGCTCCAGTTGGGCTGGGGCAAGAAAAGAGGTGACCTCCCTCAGGGTTGGAAAGCAGTCTCTGGCCCCCCTGAATTCTGTGGAGCAGGAGAAGGGATGTCCCAGGGTGCAAGGTGGGCTACAGCGAGCAGACTGGAGGGCCAACTCCAGTGGGGGGAGGAGACGGACTATGTCTCCAGGTGCAGCTGCTGCTAGCTTCAGAGTACGGGTTTGCTGAGCTCTTGGGGAAGCCCTGCAGGGAGGGGAGAGGGGGAACCTTCACGCTACTATCGCTTGCTCAGCAGGCCCAGCACCAACCCCCGCCCCACAATGGCTTTCAGACTTTGATATTTTGTCCTACCTACCCCCAAGAAAGCCTTCTCTCTTTCTGCCATGTGCTGTCTCTCAAAGCCTCCTGAAGTCCCCCATAATGACCCTCAACACCTGATTATAATTCCATATTGCTTGGTTACTTTTTAAACTATAACTACAGCAGACAGAAAAAGACATCAAACCTACACAGATCGTTTAACATCAATTCCCATATACCCACCACCCAGGTCAGGAACGGGAGCACTGCTGGCACCCAGAAGTCTGGGGATTGGCCCTTCCCAACGAGACCTTCTCCCTCCCCACCACCCAGGAAGAAATGGTCGGTTTTCAGGCCTGCTCACTGCTGTTGATGATCTGGCATACACCCTCCCGTGATCTTCCCAAGACACTTCTTCAGCCCGATAGGGGTGGCTTGCTTTCTTTTTTTTTGTGGCCTCGCCCGGGCCCCGGCAGTGAAATCGCCGAGTCCTAACCGTTGGACCGCCAGGGAATTCCCAGGAGTGGCTTTCTGATGAGTGGCTGTGTGGAATCTGCGCCCAGAGCCTCCACTCACAGCACTCTGACAGGCCAAATGCAACACGATCGGGATTTTCTGCTACAAAACATAAGCAGTTGAGAGGGCCTGCCTCTTGCAATGGCCACAGAGGGCAAGGTCTTGCTTAAAAGGGATATGGTGTTTTCTCACGCCAGGTAAGCATCACCTGGGTGGAGGGGAAACAGCTCTGTCTGTGAGCCACTGAAGCTGAGTTGCAGTCAGACGCCAGAGTACAACGAACTGTTCTTTGTTCCTCCCAGTGCGGACACACATGTTCAGTATTACAAAGTGTACACAAGTGACCGGAATGTTTTGGGGTACTCTTCTCCACCCTTTTCCATCTGTGCCTGTTTCCCCTACTCTTTTAACTGCCTATTTTCTCCATTAGTATTTTTGTTTTAATTTTTTAAACTTATTTTAAACTATTTAAGAGACTCAAAAATGGCAAAAAAAAAAAGTACATACTACCTGCTTACATTTATATAGGTTTGAAAGATTGGCAAAACTAACCAAAGCTGTTAGAAATCAGGGCAGTGGATACCCCTGAGAGGTGGTGAGTGACGTCAGTCATCTCTTCTGTTTCTGGATTTGGACTCCGCAGGCTACGTGCGTGCTCCATTTGTGAAAAGTCATTCAGCTGCCCCTCTGTCATCGGAACCCTTTTCTGTATGTCAGTTGAGAGGGATCACTGCAGAAACGAACCCAATTTGTTCAACTTCCCTTCGTCCATGCCTTTGGGTAGGCCCTGACCACACTGATGCTGGGCTTAGCCATGTGACTGGCTTTGGCCAATGGGACAGAAGCAAATGTTATACAAGCAGAGACTTAAGAGGTGCTTTGCACATTGGGTCCTGCCTTCTCATGCTGCTTTTGGGAACCCTACAATCACCACGGTGTAGATGAGCCTGGGCTAGCCTGCTGGATAATGAGAGACGTGTGGCCAAGTCACCTCTTTTGGCCCAGATGACACCAAGCCAACCATCAGATGTGTGAGGGAGGCCATCCTAGATCAAGAGATCTAGGAGCTGCCAAGTGACCACTGAGATCAGCTGAGCTGTCCCGGAGCAGAAGTGACCAGCCAAGTCACAGAATCATGAGAAATAAAAGTCTGTGTTTTCAGCAACATGGATGGACCTAGAGATTATCATACTAAGTAAATCAGACAGACTTAAAAAAATGATACAAATGAACTTATTTACTAAACAGAAATAGACTCACAGACAGAGAAAACAAACTTATAGTTACCAAAGGGGAAAGGGCGGGGGGGGCTGGATAATTTAGGAGTTTGGGATTCAAATATACACACTACTATATATGGAGTAGATAACCAACAAGGCCCTACTGTGTAACACAGGGAACTATATTCACTGTTTTATAATAACCTATAATGGAAAAGAATCTGGAAAAAGAACATATATATAGGGAATTCCCTGGCGGTCCAATGGTTAGGACTCTGAGCTTTCGTTCCACTGCAGGGGGCACGGGTTCGATCCCTGGTCAGGGAACTAAGATATATATGTGTGTGAGTGTGTGTGTGTGTGTGTGTGTATAACTGAATCACTTTGCTGTATACCTGAAACTAACACAACAGTGTAAATCAACTATATTTCAATAAAAATTTTTGTTAAAAAGTCTGTGTTTAAGCCAGTTTTGTGGTGGCTTGTTAAGCAGCAAAAGCTAATCAATACATATGTTAAATCTTTTAAGTGTCACACTGCTGAAAAAAACAAAAGTATAAATACAGTTGATTCCTACCATTCAGATTCCATTTTGTAAATTCGCCTGTTCACAAATTTATTCGTAACCTCAAAACGAATACTCGTGCTGCTCTGTGGTCATTCACAGACATGCACAGAGAGGCAAAAAACTTGAGTCGCCCAACACACGTTCCCAACTGAGGTCAAACAAGGCGACGCTCTGCCTTCCTGTTGCAGCTCTCACTTAGTAAACAAGTCTATTTAGTGCCACAGTCTATTTACGGTCTCCTTCTTGCTATTTTCACATCTTTGTGCTTTTTGTTAGTGATTTTGCTGTTTAAAATGGCAAGCATGGTGATAAGGTGCTGTCTAGTGTCCCAAGTTCAAGAAGGCTGGGATGTGCCTTATGGAAAAAATACGTGCGTTCAATAAGCTTCGTTCAGGCAGTTTTAGTGCTGCGGGCTGTGAGTCCAATGTTTATGAATCAACACCATATATTAAATAAGGTGTCTTGGAACAGAAACACACATAAATAAAGTTGTGTATTGGTCAGATGATGAAAACGTGGTGACCCCGTATTCCCCTGGGAGAAGTGATTCAGTATTCACTGACTCGGTGTTCGCAGTGGCTGTGTAGAATGGAACGACCACAAACGAAAATCCACTGTATATACAGCCACTCACTACCTAAGAGACGAGAGCCTCGGATGCCTTTGCTTCCACCTCTGTGAACTCCACTGCCGAAGGAAAGGAGGCCTGAACACATGGGACTCACCGCTAGAGGCGCCTCGGCGAATCTCGCCTGGAAGGGGGCTGGGGCTGCAGGGCACCGACTCAGTGGCAGCTTTGCACATGTCCTGTAAAGAAAACAGGTGCCCGGTTACCATGGGGACAGGGGCATAAGCTGGCGGAAGAGGGAACCCAGATATCTGAGCAAAACTCGGGGAATCAGGGCCTGAGCTGTCAGTGGTTTCAAAACATTTCCCTCCTAATCATAATGAAGCATCAGACACACCCAAACTGAGGGACACGCTGCTACAGAACACCTGACCAGCACTCTCCAAAACTGTGAAGGTCATCAAAAACCTGGGAAGACTAGGAAACTGTCCCAAATCAAAAGAGACTAAGGAGACGTGAGAAGTAATGCCATGTGGTCTCCTGGAACAGAAAAATGACATTAGTGGAAAATCTAATGAAATCCAAATAGTCTATAATTTAGTTAACAATAGCATACTACAAATGTCCATTTCTTAGTTTTGACAAATGGACCATGGCTATGGAAGATGTTAACATTAAGGGAAGCTGGGTGAAGGAAGTACAGAAACTTTCTGTATGACTGTTGGAACTTTTCTATAAATCTAAAATTGGTCTCAAATTTAAAAGTTTAAAGAAATCGTTTTGCTCAGTGACCTCCGTGATAACTCAGCTAACGTCCCTGGCTTGAGAAAGCCCTCACTGCGGGGTCTTGCCCTGGATGGTGGACAGACGAAGGCCTGTCCCTTGGATGGAGGGAGCTACTAAAATTGACGAGAATAACCCCAGCTGCCATCACTCGGTAAAGTGGAGTGCTGGAGAGCGCAGCTCTGAAGCAAGCTTCCTTCTCAGTCAAGTGGAGGGAGGAGTAAGTGAGCTCATATTCGTCGAGGACGAAGACAGGGCCTGACAGGCCACGGCAAGTGCTTGGTAAGTGCTAACTATCATAACTAAACGAGCTCTTCACTCCAGGCCTGGCACTTGGTGCCACATACACTCTCTGGTAAATGGCCACAGTGACCCCATGCAGCAGGGCTGTGTGAAAAGCCTGTTTCAGAGACTCGGGGAGGTGAAATCACTAGTCCAAGGTCACTGTAAGCAGAAGGGCCAAGAAGGGAACCACCATGCTGTTGGCCAAGCCACCAACTGGGTCCCACATAGAGAGCTCCTGTTCTGGGGACAGAGAAAGAGTCCTGGTACGGATAACTATCATGAGGAAGATGAAAACTAGTAATAATAATACTTAAAGCGAGCCCCTACCGCGGCCTGCTGTTTACACTGTCCTAGGGCTTTATATAACTCAGTACTCACAACCCTCCTGCGAAACTGGTTTGCCTACGTACATCCTACAGGTGGAGAAAGTAAGGTTCAGAGAGGTTGGGCAACACGCCCGATGTCACACAGCAAACAGTGGAACCAGCCTTGGAATCCAGTCTGCCCACCTTTACTTCCAAGCCTCCAGTCGGCTCTACCACTGCCCCCCCACCCCACCCTAAATCCAGGGACAGAGGAGTCGAGTGGAGCACCCACCTGGCGGTGCACCACCTTGGCATGCTTGAGGATGGCAATGATGTCGCCCACCACAGTCACGCCCAGCTCATTCATGATCTCCTTGTTGAGATCCAGCAGCATGCTCTTCTGGATCCTGCAGGGGAGGGTCGGCAGGGAGGCCACAGTGGGCCAGGGTGGGTGGGCCAGCCAGCCCCCTGACTCCCCTCCTTTCCCCAGGTTCAGCCCCGTCCCCTCGGCAGCCTTACCTGTTATCCACAAACATCACTGCGTAATTGACAGCAGGTCCCGGAGGAATGCCGGCTTCCTTAAAGAACTGGATCCACTCGGAAGTGGCTGGGGGGTGGGGGCATAGACAGGGCTCATTATTCACGTTACTCTCCTTAGAGAAGAGCAGCAGCAAACCACAACAGCAGCAGCTCCCGCAAATTAAATGCTCATCAAACGCCAGGCCCTGGGCCTGAGAGCTCTGCATATACGACGGAACTAAGCCGGCCTGACAGCCCTGTGGGTTAGGCAGCATTGACGCCCGCATTTTGCCAGTGAGGAAACTGAGGCAGGGAGAGGTCGGGGGACCCTCCCCAGGCCACCCTGCTAACAAGAAGCAGACTTCCCAAGGCCCTGTGCTTCCATACCGCCCTTCTCCTTGCAGCTCTGCCCTGCTCTGGAGCGTGACCTGCAGCAATCACCCCCCCATGCTTGGCCAATGACTGGTTTGGGGGAGCCAGGACTCTGGGTTCTCCATCCAGGTCCCCATCAGCAGGTGCGGGCCCCGAGGGTGACAGGGTTCATAGGTGGATGGAAAGAAGGGTTGCAGAGCTGACCCCTGGGTGTCAGAAGCAACCCCCCTCTACACACACACACAGAAGCAGCCCGGCCTCAGGGTGAGCATGTTTGGAGCATGGGTTCAAATCCCGGTTCTGCCATCTCCCGGCTGAGGGACTTTGGGCAAGGTAACGCTTGGGGCTTCGGTGTCCTCTAGGGTAATACATTCAACAAGTATGTACTGAGCACCTGGCACACACCAGGCCCTCCTCTAGGCACTGGGGATACCGCAGGGCACAAGACAGAGTCCCTTTCCTCATGGAGCTGACATTCTAGTGATAACAGCACTGATGTCCTTGGTCATCGTGCAGACTAAAGAGGAAGTCCACAAAAAGGGCTCTAAGTGGCACATGGCCCAGAGGATGTCCTCAACCCATTGCAGCCATGATGATGATGATGATGATGAAGGGGATAATGGTGATGATGATGCCACCACTACACATGGAGCCAAGACCAGGCAGACCCCATCCATGTAGCTTGATTGCTTCCAAAGTTCTTTCCTGGCCTCTTGGGTGTGACCTTCAAACTGACCCTGACCTGTCAGGCCAGGTGTTAGAGAAGATTATTGGTTCCAAGGAGAACTTTTCTTTCACATTTTAATATCTCTGAAACTAGGATTTACCTCACAATTGATGGTGTGCCACAATTTAATTGGCAACATTTTTTTCTTTATCTTTCTCAGGGTACATAACAGTACATCCAACAATCCATGCTATTTTAGATAAGAAGAAAGTTGGTGTTACTATGCCCATTTTGCTGGTAAGACAACTGAGGCTCAGAGCAGGGAAAGAGACACACTCTGGATGAGACACTGCATGGGTGGGGGGTAGGGGGCTCAGGTGCATCCCCTCCCGAAGAGGCCCCTGCCCACCCAGCCACAGGCCAGTCCCCCTGGGCCTGAGGCAAGTGAGGAGCTCATGCCCTCAGGACATCCTCCAGCAGCCCAGAGGAAAAGCGGACCTTTTTCTACTTTTCACAGGCACTATCCACCTGTCCAGGCATGGGGCCCTGGGTTCCCTTAGCCAAAAGCAGGCACCTTTGGTCTAAGTGTCAAAAACTACCACACAATAGTTCCATTTATGTGAAATGTCCAGAAGAGGTAAATCTGTAGAGATCTATAGGGACAGAAAGTAGATTAGTGGTTGCCAGGGACTGGGTGGGAGAGCAGGGGGGAGGGGGGAGTGAATGCTAATGGGTATTCGGGTTTTGCGGGGAGTGATGAAAATATTTTGAAATTGATTGTGGTGACAGTTGCATAACTGCGAACACAGAATATAAAGACCATGGACTTGTACGCTTCAGTGAATTGTATGAAATGTGAACTGCCTCTCAATTAAGCTGTTATTAAGGGGAGGAAAAACACCACATAGGTTGGGGGTAGCTAGCTGCCTGAAGCAACGTCAAGGAACTGCAGAAGTCCCCCTGTCTGGTCGTCACCATCATTTCGTGTCCTACTAAGGAGGAAAATATGCTGCCAATTAAATGATCACAAGCACCAGCTGTAAGATGAACCCCCACTTCAGAAATATTAATATGGGCCACGATGTGTGTCTTGGACTCAGAGGAGTGGCTTGCTGTACACACCAGGAGACACGCACTAGAAGATTCACGGCAGCTTGTCTGCAACCCAGAAACAATGCAATACCCACTGACAATAGCATCGACAGACAAATGGTGGCTGCTCACACAGTAAATACTACGGAGCAGTGCAAAGCAAAGAACTGCAGCTACACACAGCACCAGAGATGACTCAGACACTGCGCTGAGCAACAGAAGCCAGACACGGAAGACCTCACGGCACGACTGCATTCACGTAAGTTCAAAACCAAGTCTATAGGAATGTTTTCATTCGTGGTACAACTATAAGAAAGGTAAGGAGAGATTATCACAAAGAGAAGATAGTGGTTTATTCCATCTGGAGGAGGGCGGGGGTGTGTGATTGGGTTGGAGCCCTCAGGGGGGCAGGCAATTTTCTAGTTCTCGACCTGGACGGTGGTTGGGGGGGGGGGGTGCTTTTTTAAAACCTTTTTATTGAACTATTATGTTCACCCACAAAAGTACACACAAGTCGATACATTTTCATAAACCAACATACCCATGTAACCAGTCCCCAGATCAAGAAATGAAACATTGCCAACATTCCAGAGGCATCTCCTGCCTCACATTCCCCAGGCAGTCACTTCTCCCTGCCTCGCAAGGGCAGTCAACACTTTCCAGCGGCACAGATTGATTTTGCCTGCTTCTGTGCTTTACATAAATAGAATCATAAAGGATGCGCTCAGACGTTTGCTTTTTAATTGCTCTTATGACCACACAAATATGTTTTACGTACTCTTCTATATGTACAAATCTCCAAAAATTTAAAAGCTACCAGCTAGTAATCTCTGTGCTTCGGCAATCCCCAAGTACAGAGTTCGAAGAGAATGTGGTGATAAAGCTCATGAGAGTAATAACAGCTATAACATTTGCTGAGAACCATGCCCAAGGTTTCACATGCAATAACCTCCTAATCCTTACAACATCCCAGGATGTTACTATCTCCATTTTACAGGTGAGAAAATCGAGGCTCTGAGAGGTCATATGAGAAATCTGCTGGACTTCAGGACTTTATGGCCTGAAGTTCTTTATGGCCAAAATACGTTGTCAGCAGGCCCAGATACAGAGCGGAGGTGGATAGGCCCTGGGCAGGCCCTGGCCCTCCCTCCGCGTTCCCCGGAGCACAGCTGTTCCTGCCAGTGACCAGCCCTCCCTCCCCCAGCCTGCCCCCCCCCCGACCAAGGTCATACCTCAGAAAGGGCAGAGGGGAGAGGGGGCCCCAGAGAAAAGACTCACCCATAGTTACAGAGACCATTGTCTCCCTCGCCTTCACTCTGCTCCCTGGAGCCTGCATGAGAGAACAAGGGGAGAGCACCCATGAGTCGCCGCCGGCTAAGTGTCCGTCCCTCTCTCGCTGCCTGTCTGCCTGCCAGGGGAGAGTTCCTGGGCTGGGGGCTCACAGCCCAGGAATAGCCTGGAGCAGCTGGCAGGAAGTCAGCCTGGGGCAGAGCTGTCACCACAACTATCACTCCTGCCTCGGATAAGGCCCAGGGGCAGCAAATGTCCACATCTCCATTCCCACACACCTCACAAGTTTCTGGCTGGAATAAGAGAGGGACAGAAAAAAAGACACCCCCTGCCCAAGACCTTAACCATAAATACCCATTCATTCACCCACTCAAAAACTCTTTCCTGAGAACCTACTGTGTGTGAGGCACTGTTCTAGGAGCCAGGAATACTGAGGTTAACAAAAACCAGAGCTTGAGGACTTCCCTGGCGGTCCAGTGGTTAAGACTCCACGCTTCCACTGCAGGGGTCACAGGTTCGATCCCTGGTCAGGGAACTAAGCTCCCACATGCCGCAAGGCGCAGCAAAAAACAAACAAACTCCAGAGCTTGGCATCTAGGTGGGGACACGGGAAACAGGGAGACAGAGAGTAAACAAGCAAACCAGTTGACAATATCACGTGTCAGAAAGGCTTTAGCCTTATGGAGAAAACACAGAGGGCCCGGGAAGGGAGGACTTGCAATTCTAAATGGGTGGTCAGAGAAGAGCTCTCTAAAGTGACATGTAGAGGCCTGAAGGAGGTGGAGGGGTGAGCCATGCAGTTTTACAGAGGAAGCGTGTTCCAGGAGAAGGTACAGCAAGTCCAGTGCCCTGAGCCAGGAGCCCATCTGGCATGTCCGTGGGGCAGCAGGAACAGGGGAGGGAGCAAGGAGGCAAGTGAGAGCGGCCAGGGCAGAGAGGTGGGGCACCAGTCAGGAGGGGGTCCCAGAGCAGAAATGGAAAACCAGTTTTCGCTTGGATAAGATCAGCAGGTGCCAGAAAGGTGTTAAAGACGTATTAGCCCCAACGGAGACTTCCTCCTGCACGTGAACAGCAGTGTTGAAAGAGAACTAACAGAAATCATTTCCTCACCTGATGCTTCGCTACTACCTGACTCCAGGACCACCTGTCCCATGCTGCCCCGGCCCAAACTTCTCACCTGGCCCGCCTCTTCTCAGTCCCTGCCCTCTCCCCTCACGCTGCTCCCCTCCACCCACTCCAGCCCCCAGTTCTGATCCTTTTCACCCACCCCACTTCCGCCTCCTCTACAGGTGCAGAAGGCCCACTGTCCAGCACCTTTCTGTTTACCATCACATACAATCTGCCCGTTCCCGTCCCCCCCCCCCCCAACAATTCTGATGGTATCACAGAGATAGTACAAGAGTAAGGACTCTGGAACCAGACTTGCAGGATTCAAATCTGGCTCTACCACTTACTAGCTGTGTGACCTTGGCAAGGGACTTCACCAGTCGGGCCTCAGTGTCCCCATCTGTAAACCGGGATGGTACAAACATTACTTGCCTTAGAGGACTGCTGTGGGGCTAGATGAGTTTCTATGTACAAAGCGCTCAAGAGTGCCTGGTGTATACTAAGTACCTACTCTAGAAGTGCTGGTTCTTCTTATTCCCCCAGCCTCCCACCCCAGCTTTCCCTCTAACACCCAAGTGCTTTGCCTGCCACCCACTTTTCACACAGAACGTCACCTGTGCCTGGAATGCTTGCTCCTCCTGTCCTCCTGGCAAGCTCTCCATCACTCTGATTGGCTGCCACCTGCTTTGTGAAGCCTTCCCAAAGTCCCCAGATGTGAGGCTCTCTCCTCTACTCCCAAGTAGGATGATGAACATGACCACGCACATCACTTCACCCTGTACTCGGCTCCTAATATCCCTTTTCCCTTTGGGATTTTACCACTGGACAAAGACAATACAACCAACATCTCTCAAAGAGCAAAAGGCACGGAGAGGCTTCAGTGAGTTAGACAGAACAACAGCATTTCACACACCAGGCACTATCTATGCACCAGGACCAATGCCAGGCATCACACTGATGCCTCACAACCTCCTCATGAGTGAGGACTATAATTAGCCCCATTTTAATCAATGAAAAAACCAACTCATTGTGGTGCAGTCATTTGCCAAATGCCACATCTAGCAAGCACTTTACCAGGACTCAAAAACAAGTTCTCCCTGATTCCAATGCCCATGCAGTAGCTCCTGCTGAATGTTTACGTGCCAGGCACTGAATATGTTCACATCTCAGTGACTCCCCACAACCACCCACGGTAAAAAGTAAAAGTGATCTCCAAGTTACAGATTAGAGTGGCAGGTCCGAGGTCACACAGCAAGTAACTACAGGGCCAGGGTTTGAACCCAAGTCCGTCAGTGGCTATGATTAACACTGGTCAAGGGATTACTATGAGCCAGGCACTGTGGTCTGTCTGTCTTTGCAAAGTTTCAGTTAACACTGACTAGGAGGCTCTAAGTACTGGTATCCTCCCACTATAACTGCAGAATTCCCTGCTAGACTCAAGTGTCCTCTCTCCACCACCAAAAGCCCATCTCCAGCACAGTGAAGATTATATAACATTAACAATAACAGAAAAATGACAGCTCCCACAATTCAAGTAATCACCATGCACTAGACTCCTCATCCTAAGCCCTTAGAAGGCTTGGCTCCAAATCTCGAGTTTACCACTTCCTAACCCTGACTCTGGGGCAAGTGGCTTAACCTTTCTGGATCTCACTCCCTTCAACCATAAAATAACAATGATAGGAGTTATTGTACATCAACTATACTTCAATTAAAAAGAAAAGAAGGATAAGCATATCTATTCTTAAAGTGCTTAGCAGGGTTAAAAGAGTTTATAAACGCCAAGCCCTTAGAACAATGTTCAGTAGGTTTTGTACATGTGCATGAAATAAATCTTAAGTGAGTCAAGAAAAGGGTAGGACAGTCACTAAGCTGATGTCAGTCATATGCAAAGTGTGAGCTGAGAACAGAGTATAACTTAACAGGGTCCATGGGATCTGACAACATAGAACCACAATAGTACAAGTTATCCCCTTTTCAATTCTTTCAGTTTCTGTCTACAATTTAATAGACCGTTCTGCTTCCATTGGAGTTCAGGTTAAGTTTTCCTTCTTCTCACGGCCAAAATGCTAGTTTTCCATTAACAAAGCAATACAAATTTTCTTTCTCAAATGAACTGACTGGAGGAAAATGCATCAGTTTTAAAGAAAACGGAAAACGTAATACTAAGGGATTTGGCATAATTTATCAAATAGTAAGTGGAGGGATGTCGATTTGCCCAGCTCCAGATTCCAAGTTTTTCCTATCGCCGTCTCTGAGCTTCCTTCCTCCTCTCTTCCTTGCAAGTCCCATCTACACCAATGACTCTCAGAATCATTTTTATTATAGTCCCAATCTACTGAGCTCCTGCTCTCTACTGTCAGGTCCTATGCTAAGGAGTTTACACGCACATTTCATCAGCATCCTCACAATGACTCTATGATATTGGGGCTAATAGCCTTCGTTGTATAGACGAGGAAAACGAGGTTCAGACAGGTGAAGGCACAGTTCCACTACCACAAAGTGTAGCTAGGACTTGAACTGAGATCTGCTGGCTCCCAATTCCACGCTCCCACACCCAGCTCTTCCACACCAAGTACAAACATCATCAACAATACAAACAATAACAGTATAGCAACCAAGTGAGCAGTGTGCCAGACGCTGAGCTAGGGGCTCCGACATGCACGAGCTGACTTCTCACTCCAACCCATAATGAGGATGCCATAGCCAGATTCTGATCCCCATCCTACAGAGGAGGCAACTGAGGTTCAGAGAAAGAAGTAGCTTGTCAAGAGCCGAGTCGCACAGCGGCGCCAGGACTGAGTCCGGAACCCCAGGCGCCATTCATTCCCACCTCATCCAACCCAGTCCCACCACCCACGGCCCGCGCCTCACCTGGCCCTCTGAGCCCGCGCCCACTCGCGCCGCCCGCCCTCCCACCCGGCGGCGCCAATTGTCAGACCCTCCTCCTTCGGCCCGGCTGCCCGCCCCGGAAGCACCGTCCTCAACGCCGGAAGCCGGACTTACCGGCCCCGCGGCCGCTCTAGCCCTCCGGGTAGCCACCAGCGAGAGCACAGCGGCAACCGTCACGTGACCACCCGCACTCTCCCAGGCGCTTCCCCTCCCCACGCTAGCGAGGAGCGCGGCCAATGAGAAAGGCAATTGCCTGGCCCCCGCCGGCCCGCAGTCTAGCCGGAGTGCGCCTGCGCGCAGCGGGGGCGGTCGGGCGGGGCTCCAGCCTAGAAGGTGCGTGAGGGGCTGAGTCCAGGAGTGGGAGACGTGGAGTGCAGGTAATATGCGATCTGGGGGCGCGGCGTCTCGGCTGCCCTCCTCGTGTCGTCCTTCGAATATAATGCATCTCTCCTCTTATATCGTCCTCTGTCCCTTTATGTCCCCATTCCTCCCCTTATGTTGCATCCCGCTTACATCGTTACCACTCCCCTTATGTCGCCATCACCCTCCTTAGGTCGCCGTCAACCCCCTTAACAAGATTTCGTTCCTTTAAGTCCCCATGGCCACCAAATGTCGCAGTTACCCCCTTTAAGTCGTGTCGCCTTCTCATATCGCCTGCACCCCTCTTTTGTTGCTATTACTCCTTTACGAAGTCCTTCTCATAAATCGTCATCATACTCCCTTGTCACCTTGGCACGCCTCCTGTCACCATCTCTGTAAGTTACGCTCACGCTTCCGTTATATCTTCCTCATCCTTTATGTCTCCATCCCTCCCCGTCCTCTGACAGTCACTGTCCGTGCCTAATGCTTCTAGTTTTCCCCATAAGGACCTACCCTGCCCTACAGTTGTTATTCTTCCCTTCATGTCTCCGGTATTTCCCCGTGTCCCCTCTCACATACCGGGTACTAGAGCCCGTTATCCTGGCCGCACCACTAAGCATCTGGGTAACCTTGACCACCTAATCACACGTTTGCAGTCTCAGCTTCCTCATCTGTGAAACGCACACAAGGACACCTACGTCAGGGATGATTGTGAGGATCCTGCGTGTTTATTCTTGTGACATGCCCAGCTTGATGTGGCCATTTGAGCTAATATTATTAATCATCTCACCCTCACCTTCATCCAGTCACCTTCATCCCCTCCTCATTGTCGCTCTCCCCCTCCCCCCAGCTGCCCTCATCATTACCGTGGTGTCGTCACCATTCCCTGTATCCTGATACTCTCTGCCACACCAGCCAACCCCTGCTGTCCCACATCATGATCACTATGCTGTCCTCACCTCTGCCACATCACCACACCTGAGGGGGTGACCCATCAGCCATCACGAACCTTGCTCATGTAAATACTTAATCCCTATCTCCTTACCTTGTTGGAGTGACTGATTTCCCACCCCCAAATTGAGAGCACTTAGCCAATGGCAGGAGTTGAGGAGCGCTTGGTGGGAGGAAGACTCTAGAAAGCTTAGACCCAACCCTTCCTTGACTTATAGAATTGGGGGTGCAGAGAGATGAGGCAGGTCTCACCACACCTTTGTCAAACCTCAGCAACCCTGAATCCCCAGATGGAAAGGTAAGTATCTTAGTCACTCAGCCTGCCTTAGCATGGCCATGTAGGACAGCCATTACAGTGTGTGCCTGGGGACTGGAACACCCTGGTTCCAATCTTGGTTCTAGCATTTAGTACTTAAATAATACTAAATGACCTTGGGCAGCTGGCTTAAGGTCCCTGTGCCTCAGTTGCTACATCCTGCAACATGGGAATGAAAATGCAAGTTAATTCATTCAATAAATATTTATTAAGCATGTTCTACATGCTCAGCATTGTGCTAGGCATTGGGGACACATCAGTGAATAAAACAGAGATCCTTGGCCTCATGGAGTTTACATTCTATCAGGGGTAAGACACAGTACACAAACAGGGAAGTAGATTATATGATGTGTTAGGAGGGAGTTGGGGGATGCAAAGATTATAGTTTTAAGTAGGGTGGTCTGGAGACATTTGAACAAAGACTTGAAGAGAGGAGAGAGTGACATGGCTATCTGGGGGAAGAGCGGCATTCTAGGCAGAGAGAACAGCAAATGCAAAGGTCCTGAGGTAGGAGCATGCATGGAATATTTGAGGAATAGCAAGGAGACCAGTGAGGGAGGAGAGGGATGGGGAATGAAGTCAGCAGGGTGATGGGGGCAGATCATCTGGGGTCTCATGGGCCATGGAGAAGACTTTGGCTTTACTCTGAGTGAGGTGGGAGCCATGGGAGGATTTGGAGGAGAGGAGGGATGTGATCTGATGTGACATGTCGTGACCTGAAGAAGCAGCAGCAGCTGGAGAACTTCTACCAAGGATGGATGGGCAAGAGCAGCCTGGTTGGAAGGACAGCCAGACTCCTCTTCTTAAAGCTGCACTCACATATCCTTTGTATTTGGAGAAAGCTTCAAATGTCCCTCTCAAAGATTTGGGGTGGGATGGGGTGGGGAGGGATGTTGGTAGGGGTTTTGAGAGGCTACTGGGGAGGGACGGAGGGCATCACAGATCTACAGATGTTACACAGCAGGAGAGGCAGCTGTCTACACTCAGGACCCTGCGGCAGCTTGGGCTCAAATTCTGGCTCCACCGTTTCCTGGCTGTGTCCCTTTGTGCCAGTGACTTAACCTTTCTAGGTCTTTTGTTCCCTTATCTGTTAAGCGGAGCAAAAAAACCCACTGCTGTTAGAATTGAATATATAAAGTGTTTTGAGCAGTGCCTGGTTCAGTAAACATAAGGAGACCCCGCTCTCCCACATCCTACCCTTTCACAGGCTCAGACCTCCCTGAGGGTGGCAAGGAAAAGACATTCTGCCTTATTCTGTGTTTTGGGGAATTGGTTTGACAGTGTAATGTCCTGGCACAGAACTGAGCTCTGGGTTCAAATTCTCGGCCAACAGACCAATGCCGTGTGACCTGGGCAGTGATTTCCCTGAGCCCTACCTCCTCATCTGAAAAACAGGGATAATAATGCTTCTTTGCCCCAGATGTGTTGTATTGTTCTTTTTGACCTGAGACATCAACCATTTTCATTGTTTTATTTTTCTCCAAGTCACCAACTATATGTTTCGCTCATTTAATCTACTGTCTTACTCCCTCAAAAGAATTTCTTCCTTCCTAGGGACTTTTTTTTGTTTGTTTTTTTTTTTTGTGCTATATCTCCAATTTCTAGATAAGGCTTGTCAGCAGTAGTCGTTGAATAAATACTCATTGAATGAATAGATGGATGAACTGGCCACTGAGCATCTGCCATGTACTGTCCCTGTGCTGGGTGATACTGAGGACACAGCAGTGACTGAGCCAGCCTGGCCCTGCCCTCACGGGTTTTGCAGTCCAGTGGGAGAAACAGATCCATCATCAGGTAGTGACAGCCCAGAGTGGTCAGGGCCAGGTTGGGGAAAACACAGGCAGAGGGGTCTGGGCTGGGATAGAGAAGCCCAGGGGACTGTCAGATCCCAAAAAGGATGCCTGGACCAGACAGGGGGTCCGGGAGGGCTTCCTGGAGGAGGTGGTACACGAGCTGATGGGAATAAGCAACATGAAGAGGAGAAAAAGGTATGCTAGGCAGGAGGAGAAGCTGTGGGCAGGTTTGGTGGTAAAAGTGTGGTTTCAGTTCGAGGAACTGAAAAATATTAGATATGACTAGGCCATTAGGGATGGTAAGAGAATAAGCCCAAGAGGTTATTTAGGGGAGATCATTGAGCGGTTTGGGAGCCACAGTGAGGAGCTGAGACTATCCTGCAGATACCGGGGGGGTGGGGGGGCCACAGAAAGGTTTTGAGCAGAGGGTGGACAAGTCAGATTCAGATGGAGGGGGAATTGGAAGGGTTGAGTGGAGGCTGGGAGCCACAGGATGTGGCTGGAGTGGCAACCCAAGTGGGAGAGGCCAGTTCGGGGCCATGGAGGGGAGAGAAAAGGGTTGGGTGGGAGGCACACTTGGGAGGCCAAGTGGATAAGTTGTGGGCGGTCCAGGACAAGGCCCAGGACTCTGGGGGAGTCAGGGCTTTCTGGAGAAGGTAGCACACAGGCTGAGACCTGAAGGATGGGTAGAACAGCTCTCCTTGAAAGGGGGACCTGGGGGAGGAGCAGGTTTGGGAGAGATCCTAAGGACAGTTGGAGACATGGTGGGTGTATGGGGCTTAGGGACACCTGGGTGGAGGTGTCTAGGAGGCCATGGGACTTCTGGAGCTGAAATTCAGGGAGGAGGTGGGAATCGGAGACAGCTTTGGAGTCAGAAAGGGGGACTGAAGCTGTAATGGTGGGGAAGGTCCACAGGGGCTGTCCATGTAGGGCCCAAGAGGACATCGTAAGATGGTTGCACTTGGTCCTGGAGGCAAAGGGGAGCCACAGAGGGGGTTTGAGTAGGGGTGGGACAGCTTAGATTTTTGAGTTCCAGTTCAGAAGTGTTCGCCATTCATGCTGGAGTGTTGGGGGACAGGGGGTTGTGTGTGTATTTTTTTACTTATTTAATTGTTTTTCAGACTGAGCATCTTCTCTCCCTAGAAGGGGCACCTTCTAGGGGGTCCTTTGAAATAAAAGGTCTACTGCTAAAAACAAAACAAAAAAGTTTACAAAACCAGTGCTCTGTTCTGTTTTCTGTAGACTTGACCACAGACAATTGTGCAGTCAGTCCGAAGGGGTCTGCACAATCGAATGAAAATCGGCTCCTTTAAACCCAAGAACAGTTCTGTTTTGAACCGTATGGAAGGTCCATAGGTTAGTGAATGTTTCCTGAGGTATGGCCTGCCCAGGGCTTCACGTGGGCTTCAGCAGCTAACTGGCCCCACACCCTTCTTTGCACTTTCATACGTCTTGAATCAACCTTGAATTTTACCCTCAGGCTGAGGTGTCATTATCTGCACCTACCCTATTGCTCTGGGCTTAGAACACAAGCTACTTACACATTGTGTATACACCGAGTGTCACTAGATCTAGAGAGACATCTAAGAAAGTCTTTTCTCAAGGGTTTCCATTCTACTGCTTCTTTTCTTCTGTTTTCAATAAACATTTATTGAGTGGTTACAACGTGCTAGGCACAGGGTGGGTAGAGGAATAAATCAGACATAGACTTAGCTTTTTAAGGGACACATATAGGTTTATCTATGATAAAAGTGTGTCCAGGGTACTAGGGGACACAGCTAACCAGCCAGCTTGTATCTGTGCTACCTGGCCTGCTATGGATGGTTTCACTGACTGCCCAGCAAACGTGAGGTTGGTATATTAGTCTACCCATTGTTCTGAGAATGCAAGGAACGCAAGTGAGGTTCAGAGAAGGGAGCCTCTTCTCCCAGTAACACACACAGCTGAGATCTGAACCCAGGGGGTTGGGACTGCAAGACGCACCCCCTTAAACCATTCAGAGATCCCCCAGCCACCACTCCCCAGATGGGTATAAAGTGATCCCCCTTTTTTTTTTTTTTTTTTTGCGGTACGCGGGCCTCTCACTGTTGTGGCCTCTCCCGTTGCGGAGCACAGGCTCCGGACGCGCAGGCTCAGCGGCCATGGCTCACGGGCCCAGCCACTCCGCGGCACGTGGGATCTTCCCGGACCGGGGCACGAACCCGTGTCCCCTGCATCGGCAGGCGGACTCTCAACCACTGCGCCACCAGGGAAGCCCAAGTGATCCCCTTTTTATGAATGAGGCCAGCAGGGCTCAGAGAAGTAAAGCCCCACGCCTGATGTCACTGAGTAAGAAAGTGACGGGTGGGATCTGAACCCTGGCCCCTCCAACCCAAAACACTGCTATGGAAGAGGGATCAAGTCTCCCACCCCAACCCTCACGGGTGTTCAGGGAGCTGTGAGGCAACACGTGTCTCAAAAGCCGGGTGGGCTTTGCTTCCTCCTTTTCTGTGCGCTGTGGTTCGCAACCCAAGTCAGGCAGGACACAAGCCAAGGGAACAGGGAGATATTCTGTGGGCTGGTGAAACTGCACAACTCAGTCCCGCAGCCAAAACCCAGAGTGGGATTTGAACCCACGTTCTTTTAACTGAAACCACACACCCGGTCTCAGGACCTAATGAAGCTTAGGTTCTTTATGTCTCAGCGCAGAAAGAATTCAGTGAGAGACAAAGTGATAGGTAAAAAGTGGGTTTATTTAGAGAGATACACGTTCCATAGACAGAATGTGGTTCATCTCAAAAGGCAAGAACGGCCCTGGGATGAACACACTCCATAGACTGTGGGCCATCTCCGAAGGCGAGAGGTCCGGAAATATGGGGTAGTTTTTATGGGCTGGGTAATTTCATTGGCTAATGAGTGGGGGGATTATTCCAACTGTCTTGGGGAAGGGGAGGAGATTTCCAGGAATTGGGCCCCGCCCACTTTTTGGTCTTTTAGGTCACCTTGGAACTGTCGTGGCACCTATGGTTGTGTCATTTAGCATATGCAAATGCATTGGTCCCCAGCCTTTTTGGCACCAGGGACCGGTTTCGTGGAAGACAATTTTTCCACGAGCGGGGTGGGTGGGGGGTGGTTCAGGCAGAGGGATGGGCAGCGGCAGATGAAGCTTCGCTCGCTCGCCCACCGATCACCTCCTGCTGTGCGACCTGCTTCCTAACAGGCCGTGGACTGCTAGCGGTCCGTGGCGCGGGTATTGGGGGCCCCTGTGCTAATATATATAATGAGGCTCAAAGTCTACTGGAAGTCAAATCTTCCGCCACCTCGGACCTAGTTGGTTCTAACCAGTTTATGCTGTATCCTCAACGTCTGTGTCATTCTTTTAAAGATTGTGCCCTGCCCCCTTCCCTCCCGTTTCACTGGGAGGGGGCACACCTGCTGGTGGAGGTGCCCCCTACACCAGCGAGGAAGCAGGGCATGAGGACCAGCCTGGACATTGCACTGGAGCCCCGGGGTGAGTTCTAGGTTCCTGGGAACCCTGGAATTGAGGTGAGCTGAGAAGGCCAGCACTTGCCGGCCTGGCTCTGTCGGCCCAGCTGTCCATATCCTGCTTCAGTTTCACCCTGCCCTGCTCCCCCTAGGGATCTGGGGATTGAGGGTGCTGGATACCTGTCCAGCTGAGGCCACAGTCCTCTTTTGGAGACGGGGATGTTGGGGAAGGGCCCCCACAGCTAGGACCTTGAGCCTCAATTTAATTTCCATGGAAGGCCTATGTGCATTTTTTAAAATAGTGAGTAAAGGCCCACAGTAAAAAGCAGGCATCTTGCCTGGCCGAGGGTGGGGAGGACGGAGGCGGAGGGAATCATGCCTTTTTTCTTTTCTTTTTGGCTGTTAGGACCCTTGAGACAATCATATTTCTTGAGAACCTCTTGCATGCCCATTCTCTGCACTTGATATATATGAATTCCTTGAGTTCGAAGGAGCCACTCAGATTTTAAACATCTCCAATTTTACATGTTCAAAAGACACACATTATTTATTTATTTTTGATATTTTTTTAAAAATTTATTCCTGGTCTTTTCCCCAAACTTGGTCCTCCTCAGTGTTCCCCCAAATCACACGCCCACCCCAGTCAGTTCCCCACACGGCCAGAGGGAGCCTGTAAACAGCCTGTATTCGTTTCCTGGGGCTGCTGTAACACGTGAGCACAAACTGCGTGGCTTAAAACAACAGAAGTTTATTCTCTCACAGTTCTGGAGACCAAAAGTCCAAAATCAAGGTGTCAGCAGGGCCGTGCTCTCTGCAGAGCCTCTAGGGGAGATTCTGTTCCCTGCCTCCGCCAGATGCCGGTGGCTCCTGGTGCACCTGGGTTTGCAGCCCATCACTCCAGTCGCTGCCTCCCTGGTCATGTCTCGTTTCTGTCTCTTTTAGAGATACTTGCCCTTGGGTTTAGGACCCACCCAGATAATCCAGAATGATCTCATCTTTAAATCATTGACTTAATTACATCTACAAAGACCCTTTTTCCAAATAAGGTCACATTCACAAGTTCCAGGAGTGATGACCACATCTGACATATCTTTTTTGAGGCCCCCATTCAACCCACCACAACCCCCAAAGGAGATCATGTTCCCTCCTCTGCTCAGAACCTACCCGTGGCCCCGTCCTTCTTGCCACAGTCCAGGTAGCCCAGCATGATCTGGTCCTGTCACCTCAGACTTACCTCCTCTCCCTCTTCCCACAGGCCATTCCACTACAGACACACTGGCCTCCTCGCTCTTCCCTATCCACACCAGGCACACTCCTGCCTCACGGCCTTTGCACTGGCTGTTCCCTCTGCTCAGAACACTCTTCCCCAAGATGTCCAGTAGCTCCATTCCTCCTCTGCTTGAAGTTTTTTTCCCTCAGGCATCCCCTTCTCTGCGAGGCCTTCCTTGACCTCTTTATTTAAAATTGCAAGCAATCCCAACCCCGGCCCCACCCCTGTCCCTCTTCCCTGGGTCTCCATAGCACTTATTACCTTCTAACATATAATTTAATTTAATACTGTTTTTTGTCTGTCCTTCCTCATGTCAGTTTTGTTCACAGTGATATCCCCAGTGCCTAAAACAATACCTGGTGCACAGGTACTCAATAAATGTGTGCAAAATTAATGAACAGCCTTGTAAAAAGTAGGTGCTATTCTTGCTGTGCCCATTTTGCAGATGGGGAAACTAGGGCACAGGTGCACTGTCACTTCTCTGAAGTTAGTCACGTACACGCTGAGGCTCATATTAAGATCAGGCACCTGGCTCTGGGAGCCACAGTGTTAACTGCCTCGCCAATCTAACCCAGTCTACACCACCTCTTCAGGACTAGTTTTCTTTTTAAATATTGATACCTTAGGTGTATTGCTTTGATAAAAGTATAACAAGTCAAAATTAAACCCATCATTACAGACCTATCATCACGGCACAATTTGAAAGCCAAAAGCTCGCTAACAAACTGAATGAAATGCATCTATTTTCTTCCTATTTTTGATTTATTACCGGCCATCCCAGTTCCCCTGGCTCACCTTGCAGGGTCCCTCACAGCTCCGCGCCCTACCTCTGCCCAGTTTTGTTTTTGTTTATCAGCTTCCCTAATTTCACATCACCTGCTGTTCCAACCCCATATTCTTAAATAAAACATTTCTCACCAAGGCCCTTCACAAATAGATAAATAAAAGGCAAACTTGTTTCGCACCCCATGCCTCCCCCTCCCCCCACCCTCCAACCCTGCGGCCAGCCACATCCAAGACTTATCTTCTGCTTCTCTTGGTGACCTCTGGAGTTCCAAATAACCTTGATCTGTTGCCATTTCTTGCTGGATCCATTTGACCCATCCCGGTTTGGCTCGCTCCCTGCAATGATAGGAGGGGATCTAGCTGTGTTCTTCCGCCCTTGCCAATCTGGGATCGGACGTTGGGGGGAAAGGGGTTTCCAAATTATCCTTTCAGATCTAGGCAGGATACTGCGGTGAGGAGAGAACCTGGCTCCCTTTTGGAATTTCCTTCCTTTTTTCTTCTTTTTTTTAAAACACATTAATGCATGCGCATGAATTTTTTAAAACGTGACAAAACCTGGGACGCGGCAACACCTGTGTAGGCTTTAGAATTATTTTTTAACCTGCACAGAGATGTTTTCTCTTCTTTTCTGTAAGTCGCTCATATTTCACAATTTTAAAAAAGAAAATAGGCGGACGATAAAAAGCAATCCTGACCCACCCCCAAATCCCGCTGTCAAGGCAACCACTTCCAACGCTGTTGCTCCCCTCAGTAATAATCCTTCTCTGCATCTGTTGACTTCCTGCCTGGATGTGGGGAAGGGGGTCCTGCCCCTCTTTCATTGAGAAAGGTGGGCGGGGAGGGGGACCTCCAATTTATTTCTCCATCTGTGGCCTTAAATCCTGCTTCGGAGATATGAGATGGTATGTGGGAAACCTTGCTTACCCCTCCAGCCAGAGCCTGGATTTAAGAGACAAAATTTTTAAAATCCTTCTCAAAATATCAGTTGACTTTTTTTTTTTTTAACGAAACACTGACTGCAGTCCACAGTCCAAGGGAAAACCCACCATCCCCTTCCCCCCCACCGCTCTTCCCCTCCCTTAGCGTGGGCTGTGTCTTCTAAGCTGATTTCATCGCTACGTTCCTAAATCATGTTATTCAGCCTTGATCATTCCATTTCATTTTATAATTTTTAAAGTCATTAATCTTATTTATGTATTTATTTTTGACCAGGTAATACATGCCCATGGTACAAAAATTCACAAGGTTTGCAGACGAGAAAAGATGTGGGGGTCTTTTTTCTCTTTACCTGTGGCCTCCCTACCCAACATGGGGGCTCTAGGGTGGACCGTAGCAAAGCCAATCGCTCAGCCATGTACTCTCCCTCCACCCCCGTCAGGTTGGCTGTACTGGGCGGCCGGGCCCCCCTTCTCCCTGCGGTGAGCCCGGACCGGCGCGCTCACTGCGCAGACTCCCCGCTGCAGTGGGCGGAGCCCCCTCGATCCCCGCCCCCGCCCGCCCGCCCCTGCTCAGCCTGTCGGGGCAGAAGCTGGGGCCCCGTGGAGGTAGCAGCAGCCGCCTGCCGAGTAAGGCCGAGGCCCCTCTGGGGTAGGGGAGGGGAGGATGGTTTCAGGGATGGGCTGGGGTCTGACGGGGAGGCCGCGATGGTCCTGGGCTCCCGGCCTGAGCTGTCTAGTTGTTACCTGAGGGTGAGGGCAAAGGAGCCACCTGGAAAATGACTTGTGGGTAATCCCAGGGCTGGGAGAAGCCAGGCACAAAGATTTAGGGCTCCGCTGACCCAATCCGGAGCTGTCATTTTGGGAATGTATAGGTTAGAGCTCAGAGAAGGGAAAGCGCTAATGGGGAGCAGTGTGGGTGCTGATGAGGGGCAGGGTGGGCGCTTGGGGGGGCAGGGTGGGCACTAAAGGGGGGCAGGGAGGGTACCGCAGAGGAATAGGAGGAAAGCAGAGGAGTTGGACTTAGAGGAATTTCGAAATCCCAACTGACCAGCAGTCAGCTTCCTCCTTTAGGGGTGGCAGGCACAGTGCCAGTGGCCCCCGTGATCACAGACAAGGCGACCCAGGGAGTCCCGTGAGCCCGAGGCTGATCCGCTTTCTGTGATGTCCCCCAAAAGCCTAGAACACCCCACACAGTGCCAGCTTTTGTTCCCTGCAGTTTGGAGACCCTGACACACCCACTTTCCCACTGGAATCTGTATAACCCCTGGCTGCCCAGCAAGATGAAGCCTAAACTGATGTACCAGGAGGTAGGTGGATGGGGGACCCAGTGGGGAGGGGCTGGACCCAGCAGAGGGTGGGGGCCCCACTGAGCTGCCCTGTCACCCCCACACACACCATCATCCCTGTCCCCCAGCTGAAGGTGCCTGCCGAGGAGCCCTCCAACGAACTACCCATGAACGAGATCGAGGCGTGGAAAGCTGCAGAAAAGGTAGGAGCCCACCGCCACCCTCACTCTGTCTCAGCCATAGCCTGGGCTGCCCTCCTTGGGCTGGCTGATCACCTCCTCCTCCCCACAGAAGGCCCGTTGGGTCCTGCTGGTCCTCATCCTGGCAGTCGTGGGCTTCGGTGCCCTGATGACTCAGCTGTTTCTATGGGAATACGGCGACTTGCATCTCTTTGGGCCCAACCAGCGCCCAGCCCCCTGCTATGACCCTTGCGAGTAAGTGGAGGGGGGCGTGGGCGCCTCAGATGGTGGGGGGAGGGGCCCTGCCAGGCCAGGGACACTTCAACACGCACTAAGCAGGGCCTGCACCCAGTGGTCGAGACAGAATAAGGTGATCGCCGACTCCCAAGTGGACCGTCACGGTTCTTCCCTCCATGCCCACCTCCTTCCCCCACACTGTTGCCATGGCAGCCACAGCATCATCTTCTATCTGTCTGTGAACAGACACACATGGCATCTTCCATCCATATCTGTGGACAGACACACACACACACACACACACACACACACAGACATGCACATGCACAACCTTCCTTCCACGCCTCTAGACAGACAAATGCAGACACACAGAGAATCATGAGTACCGACACAAATACACATAGTCTTCCGTCCTCCGTGGGCAGAGAAGTGAGCACTCACATTCCAGCCCCCTATGGCTGATTCTGCCTCCCCCCACCCCCCAGAGCAGTGCTGGTGGAGAGCATTCCCGAGGGCCTGGACTTCCCCAATGCCTCCACGGTCAACCCCTCCACCAGCCAGGCCTGGCTGGGCCTGCTCGCCGGTGCCCACAGCAGCCTGGACATTGCCTCCTTCTACTGGACCCTCACCAACAACGACACCCACACTCAGGAGCCCTCTGCTCAGCAGGTACCTGGCAACCTGGGCCCTAGCTGGCAGCGGGTGGGGGGGTGGGGGGGGCGGTTGGAGGGAGGCACTGGGGAGGTGGATGAAAGGGGTTTCCCTATAGCCCGGGAGACAGGTGGACATGTCTCACACAGCGGGTTGGACACAGGTGTGTGGAAGCAACTGTCTTCACGTGGCCCTCTGGACTGGGGGCGTTTTGTCACAGTCATCTGGAGGCCTCTGAATGTCAGGGTATGGGTTTGGTTACGAGGGATTAGGCTGGCAGATATCACTCACCCACAAGCTGCCCCGACCCTGTCACACAAAGAAATGGAAACATGGAGTGAGTACCAGCCCAGCCTCAAGCCAGGCTGCCACTTCCCAGCTGTGTGACCTTGGGCAGGTCACTTCACCTCTCGGTCTTCAGTTTCCTCATCTGTAGAATGGGGGAATATCTAGCACTCCCCTCTTGTGAGGATGAAACGGGCTAATCCCTGCCAGTTATAGCACAACGACCGACAGAGTCAGCCCTTTATAAGCATTTGCTCTGATAGCCTTGTTAGGGTCTGCAGACAAACTTAAAAAACGTAAAACTTCAAGATTTGAAAAGGAACAGCCTAGGTGGATAAGCCCTTCATCGAAAGACATGGTGAATTTGTCCCTTTTTTTCCCCTTTCCTTGCTGCCACTCTTTGTCAGAGGTAGGCTTAAAATGTATTAAAATCATGAGGTTTATTAAGCACTGCCTGAAAAAATATACGACAGTTAAAAATGATATGAGCTGGAAATTCCCTGGCGGTCCAGTGGTTAGGACTCTGCAGTTTCACTGCCAAGGGCGCGGGTTCAGTCCCTGGTTGGATAACTAAGATCCCACAAGCCAAAAAAAAAAAAAAGTCATGAGCTCCCACGCCCTGCTGGTTCCTACTGGAATGGTTCAAAGCACAAAGCAGAGACATAGGAGGCAGACCATCTGAGTTCAAATCCTGCTTCCCCATTGATTTCTCCAATGCTCAGTTTCCCCATCTGCACCTTGGGATATACTCAGATTTGCCTCATCAGTGAGAGTGGTGAGAAGTCAGTGAGTTCACATGTAAAGGGGCTTAGAGGGGCCCTGGCTCACAGTAGAAGCCAGGGAATCAATGGCTGTTGCTATTAATGTTATTGGCATCATCAGGCCTCGCCCAAACCTTCCCAGACCCCAAGCCTGCACTGTGCCCCCAACATCCTGCAAGGTGCCCAGAGGTCCCTTCTGTGACGGGCATTGATACTTCCAAGTCAAGATCTTGGGAAGGTCCCGTGAAGGGCAGGAGTGGCAGGGAGGCCCTAGCAGGGCTCAGAGCGCCAATTATTAAAACAGATAAAGGGACTTCCCAGGTGGTCCAATGGTTAAGACTCTGCACTTCCACTGCGGGGGGCACGGGTTCAATCCCTGGTCGGGGAACTAGGACCCCGCATGCCACGCAGTGTGGCCAAAAAAATCAATGAAATACAACAGACACAGGTTTTTTTCTTTTTACTTTTTTTTTTTTTTTTTTGCGGTACGCGGGCCTCTCACCGTTGTGGCCTCTCCCGTTGTGGAGCACAGGCTCCGGACGCGCAGGCTCAGCAGCCATGGCTCACGGGCCCAGCCGCTCCGCGCCATGTGGGATCTTCCCACACCGGGGCACGAACCCGCGTCCCCTGCATCGGCAGGCGGACTCTCAACCACTGCGCCACCAGGGAAGCCCCCAGACACAGGTTTTAACATCTTAACCTGTGGAAAGCCTTCCCTGAGTGTACCGGCTAATGAAAAGCCTGATCAGATCTAGAAGCTTAATCTCAAAACAGCTCCTTGGGGGGTCCTGCGTGGGGTTGGAGAGTTGGCTCATCCAGCCCCTCAGAGGCTCTCCCCTCCTCCCAGGGCGAGGAGGTCCTCCGGCAGCTACAGACCCTGGCACCCCGAGGTGTGAAGGTCCGCATTGCCGTGAGCAAGCCAAGTGGGCCCCAGCCCCAGGCAGATCTGCAGGCCCTGCTGCAAAGCGGTGAGCTAGGGGGCAGCTGGGGGTGGGCTGGGCCTGGGGCTGCCCAAGCCAGCACCCTGACCACCACCCCTGTCTGTCCAGGTGCCCAGGTCCGCACAGTGGACATGCAGAAGCTGACCCATGGCGTCCTGCACACCAAGTTCTGGGTGGTAGACCAGACCCACTTCTACCTCGGCAGTGCCAACATGGACTGGCGTTCCCTGACCCAGGTCTGCCTGCACCCTGCCCACCGCCCTTCTAGGCCGCTCCCTGCCCCACAGGGCGCCCGGCCTCCAGCTGCGCCCCGCCTCAACCCCAGAGTCCTCTCTTCCAGTCTCTGCAATGGCTTCCTTCCCACCTCCTACCTAACATCCCCAAATCCAGCCCTCCACCACACTCGCTCTGCTCAGGGAAGCCCCTCTGATCCCCGATGGCATCTACAGGACATTCCAGGCCCTGTCCACCCATTTGACCTTCATGATTCACTCTCTGCATGCCTGCTCTAAGCCCAGCCCTGTTCTGATGCTGGGAACATGGTGGACCTCTTGGAACCCCCGGTCCAGGGTGGAGACGGGCCTGTCACCAGTGTCAGCCCAAAAGGGTCAAGTCTGAGTTGGTGGCGAGGCGGGAGCACAAGTGGAGGGGTCAGGACCAGGACGGGCGACCCAACCTGGGGTACCAGGGAAAGTCTCCCAAAAGAGGTGAAAACTAATCTGATAACTGGAGGAGCCCCGCGGGGAGATGCTGAACACACAGCTCTCCCTGAGACATCCCCTGTGCCTGTCCTCCCAGTCCAATGGGGAGGCAGGTTTGTCACCAGAGAGGGTGATGAAGGAGGCCCAAGGGACCCTGAGAGCCTCAAGGAATGCCTGACACAGTCTGGGCAGTCAAGGCAGGATTCCCGGAGGAGGAAACTGTCAGCTGAGACCTAAGACTGAGTAGGAGCTCAGTGGAGGGTAGAAGCAACAGTGTACACAAAGGTTCAGGAAACCTGGAGCTTTGGAATAACTGATTTTCACCAAAACTTAAGATTTTAATCTTGAGTCAAGATCATGTCCATCCCAGGACTTTAGCTGGGGGAAGGGGGGTGGGGGCACAGTTAAGGGGCAGAAAGAAAGGAGACAGGGGCAGAGAGAGGGGGAGATAGAAGGGCAAGGGGCAGGAAGGGGGACTTGGTGGGGGGCAGGGGGAAGGGCTGCAGGTGTCCATGTCATCTGTGGGCACCAGGCCATCATCCCCGGGCTCAGCATTGCCCTCCCACAGGTCAAGGAGCTGGGCGTGGTCATGTACAACTGCAGTTGCCTAGCTCGAGACCTGACCAAGATCTTCGAGGCCTACTGGTATCTGGGCCAGGCGGGCAGCTCCATCCCGTCAACCTGGCCCCGGCCTTATGACACCCGCTACAATCAAGAGACACCAATGGAAATCTGCCTCAACGGAACCCCTGCTCTGGCCTACCTGGCAGTGAGTCCGAGGGAAGAGGGGCCTGTCACACCCCGGCCACATCCCTTCTCTCGGCCCCCATCAAGCCCTGCCTAGTGACTTGGTAGGGATGGGGGTTCCTGACCACTGGCTGTCACTTCTGCTCACTCGGGGCCTGGGCTGTGTCCCAACCTCCCTAGGCCTTGGTTTCACATAGAAAATAAGTATTGCAATATTTACCACCTCTTAGGGCTAGTGAGAGGCACGGCTGGGTCCATGCAGGCCGAGCCCTGGGTGACCTGTCCAGTATAGCTGCATGCCGCATTTTTAATCAATTAAAATGAACTACAGTTAAAAACTCAGTTCCTCAGTCACACTAGCCACATTTCAAGTGCTCAGCAGCTACACATAGCAAGCAGTTGGCATACGGGACAGTGCAGATAGAGAACGTTTCCATCAATGTGGAAAGTTCTATGGGACAGCACCCACTATTGCCCTTGGCACTCTGGACAAGGCACCGCTGCTTTTAGCTGTTGATATTTTCACTAGTTGGGGTGGCCAACCTGGGTCCCCCCCAGCAAGTCACCTGGCCAGGCCCAGTGTCATCCTGGAGGGCCCACACTAAGGCATGGATGGAGGGACACGATTCATTGGGGTCCTTTGCTCCAGTGACCTCCCACGGGACATTAATGGTTCCCCCGTTACCACTACCCCTTTCAGAGCTCGAGTTTGCTCACCTGTTGTGAGGATGGAGAGAGCTGGGTGAAGGGCCTGGTGTGGCTGGGCACATGAGTGCCATCAGGCTGGACTGTAAGTCAGGGACAAAAGTGATTAGAGCAGAGGTCCTCAAACTTGAGCATGCATTAGAATCACCAGAAGGGCTTGTGGAAAGCCAGATTCCTGGGCTCCACCCCAGCACCTTGGTTCTGTGTGCCATGGCAGTGAGGCCCAAGAACTTGCATTTCTAACAAGTTTCCAGGTGATGCTGTTGCTGCCTGACCAGGGACCTCATGTCGAGAACCACTGGGTTAGAGCATAAGTTCTGGAACCAGACAGCCTAGGTTCAAACCCTGGCTCCATTTATCAGCTGTGTGACCTTAGGCAAATCACTTACCCTCTCTGAGCCTCCGTTTGCTCACCTGCAAAAAAAGATGGTGGTAATTATCCCTCTCCTTCATGGAGGCTGAGCATTAGTGAGACCCGCAGGACCTGGCTCGTGACAAGCTGTCTGTAGCAGGGGTCCACTGTGAAGGACATGTGTCTTGACTGTCCCCTCGTCCCCCAGAGTGCACCCCCACCACTGTGTCCAAGTGGCCGCACCCCAGACTTGAAAGCCCTGCTCAACGCGGTGGACAATGCCCGGAGTTTCATCTACATCGCGATCATGAACTACCTGCCCACCATGGAGTTCTCCCACCCGCACAGGTACCGCTGGGCGCGTGGACAGGGGTTGGGGTAGGGAGCCACCGTGAGTGGAAGAGGAGACAGGATACAGAGCGATGGGGCCCAGAAAGCAGTCACGGGGCCAAGACCAGGGGACAGAGGGAGGGGATGCCATGGGGAGAGACAGAGGTGACAGGGAGAGTGGGTCTGGATGGTCAAGACAAGGAGAAGGGGACAGAGAAGAGGATGAGAATATTCGGGGGGTGGTGTGGAGACGGGGGACTGGAGGCTTAAGGCAGAGGATGCAGGATGTGGGATTTCTGCAGGTAGGAGGCAGGGAGTGTGGGCTGGATATGGGATGACGGGCTTGGGAGGTAGGACTAAGGGTATTCAGGTTTGGGGCGGCAGGGTTGGGCTTTGAGATCTGGGATAGGAAGTGGCGATGACTGGACTCTGGGGGCTCAGAGCAGGTAGTCTGGGGGCAGCAGACAAGACAATGAGAAGATTGGTGGGGGGAGCAGGGCTTGGAGCTAGAGATGGGGTGGGGACTTGGGGCTTCTCAGAAGCTGCAGCGGGCCCCAGGCCTGGCTCCCTAAAGCTGAAGTGAGGCCTCCCTCCGCATCCTGCACCCCCCTCCCCAAGGTTCTGGCCTGCCATTGACGACGGGCTGCGGCGGGCTGCCTATGAGCGGGGCGTCAAGGTGCGCCTGCTGGTCAGCTGCTGGGGGCACTCTGAGCCATCCATGCGGGCCTTCCTGCTCTCCCTGGCTGCCCTGCGTGACAACCACACCCACTTTGACATCCAGGTGGTAAGCACCTACCCCAGACCTACCCATCAGCCCCTATGCGGGGCAGTACCGGGGACACAGCAATCGTGGAGCTCACCTGTCACCTGACAGGGACGACCCACAGTGGGCTGTGCCCTGATTGGCCAGAATCAAGGGCACGGGCAGAGGGGTTAGGGCTGGGATGGGGAAGCCCAGCAGAAGCTCCTGCCGCAGCCTGAGGGGTCATGGAAGACTTTCTGGAAAAGGGGACATCTGAGGTAAGACCTAAGGGATAAATAGTCATTCTAGAGGGAACAGGCGGCATATGAGGCGACAGGGTCCTCCCTTTCAGCCGGTGTTTACCGAGTACCCACGCTGGCCCCCAGGCCCGCGAGGGAAGCCGCTGAGTCCCCAGTCCCGCAGACCTGGTGCCACTCCCCACCCCAGACCCTGGGGCTTCTCTAACCCAACCCTGCATCTCCCCTCCCTCTCAGAAACTCTTTGTGGTCCCTGCGGACGAGGCCCAGGCCCGAGTCCCTTACACCCGCGTCAACCACAACAAGTACATGGTGACTGAACGTGCCACCTACATCGGTGAGCGTCCTGGGCGCCGCTGGGGTGGGAGGACGGAAGGGGGTCCAGGCAGCACCACGGGCCCTGACTCTCTGGACCCCCGCTCCCCGTAGGAACCTCCAACTGGTCTGGCAGCTACTTCACCGAGACAGCGGGCACCTCGCTGCTGGTGACGCAGAACGGGCGGGGTGGCCTGCGGAGCCAGCTGGAGGCCGTTTTCCTGAGGGACTGGGACTCCCCTTACAGCCATGACCTTGACACCTCAGCCGACAGCGTGGGCAACGCCTGTCGCCTGCTCTGAGGCCCGGTCCAGCGGACAGGCCAGGCCTGCGAGGCCCCCGCGGGCGCGGGTGTTCCGGGTCTCAATCCCTGTCCCCGTGCCCCCGCTTCTGTCTGCCCCGTCGTGGCTCCCACAGGCTCCCCCCCTGCTCTCCCGCTTCTACCTCCGCCCCCGCCAGCCTGATGCTGTGGCCGCAGAGGACCCAGCCAAGCTGGGGGAGGGATCAGCCCCCGAAGAAGTAGGGGTGCATGCTGGGCCTGGCCCCCTGGCCCACCCCACTTTCCAGGGCAAAGAGGGCCTGAGGTCATAATAAGAAGTAAATAACTTGTGTGTACAGCCTGTGCCTGACCGAGTGGTGTGAGGTGGGGTGCCGGGTAGGGGACAGCTGGCATGGGCCTCTGGTGGGGACACCTTCACGCATGCTGAGCCCTCAGCATGTGACCAGTGTGGTTTGGTGTGTACTGGACGCTCAGCACGTGGCTGGTGTGTGCTGAGCCCTCAGTGGGTGACCAGCGTGGGCTGGCGTGTGCTGAGCATGCGCGTGTGACCTCGAGGGCTGGCATGAACCGAGCCTCACGTAGCCAGCATGGCACAGCGTGTGCTGCACGCTCGGCACGTCCCCAGCCAGATGCGCGCGTGCTGAGCCACCGCCATAGCCCGAGGGTGGACTCGCACGTCTGGACACGAGAGCATGTGCCAAGCGTGAATTTACATACACCTGCTGAGTGAACTTACACGTCGCATGTCCCAAGCATGGATGAGTGCATGCCAAGCCTGTCACGTGTGGCAAAGACAGCTCAACAGACGCTGAGAACCTGGCATCGGGCAAGCTCAGACTGGCACCTGCTGAGCACCGAGAATGTTCTGAGGGTGGATTCTTACGTGCCAGGCACTGAGCATATTTAAGGGATGGGTCAGTGTGCCAGGCACAGTCTCCAGCCTGAGCCAATGGCTGACTGGGTGCAGCATTAGAGAGCAGGGCCTGGGTGCCCCCCTGAACCCCACCCCCGTGCCAGTCCAGGCCTCAGGCAGGGAGGACAGGCATGAGGCAGTACTGCTGAACAGTGCTTTATTGAAATAAACAGAGGCAGCAGGGCCAGTGGGGTGCAGCCCCCTTCCTGCGTCCCTCTGGCTGAGGGGGCCACGGGCCAGACCCCAAAACCCTCCTGTGTTCGGGGTGTGTGTGCAGGCATGCACCGTGAGCGGGGCGGGGGGAATGGGGTATTTCTGGATAATTATCTTTCTGTAAGAATAATCTGTCGGTTCAGGGGATAGCTCTGAGGAGGGGATGCCAGCCCCTCTAGCGCATCACCCGGTGATGGGCAGGGGTGGAATCGCCATCAGTGGTGCCCGCCGACATGCTGCACAAAGCTGGTGGCCCGGGGTGGACCATGCGGGTGGGTGTGGCGTGGTGGGAGCCCCTGCGCCCGTGGCCCCCCGACGCCCTCCAGGGTCCAGTCTGGCTGGCCCAGCCATTCCCCAGGACAGCTGCTGAGGTCGAAGAACTCATGGCCTGGCCTCTGTTGGGGAGAAGAGATGGGCATCAGCCAGGAAGTGCACCCCACCCCACCCCGGAACAACCACGCTGCCCCTCATGGACTCCTGATCCCAGCTGCATCCTTGTCAATTCCCGAGGACGATTTTGTACATCCTGAACCCCCATCCCATTTTGGAGGCTTAAATGCTGTGTGTTGAGACCTTAATGTGTCCTGAAGGTGTGTTTGCTGAGGCTCTGTCACATCTTCCTGGGGTGGGGGGGCTGAGCTGTCCCGTGGCCTATATCACTTCCCATATGTGGATTACTGTGTTCTGAGTTCTTACACAGCCTTAATACGGGTTAGTGTTTGCTGAGCTTCATCGCATCCTACGGGTATATTAGTGTTTGCTGAGCCTTGTCACATCCTGAGGGTGGGCTAGTAGTGTGTGTTGGATCCTGGGCCAGCTGCGGGCCATGCAAATGTACGGGAGGCAAAGTTGGTTCACCATGCCCCGATCCTAGAGCTCTGGGGAGGCCCTGATCCCAGAACCACCTGCCTCCTAGCTGCCCCCTGGGTCACCTCAGCATCCACGGTCATGTCCTTGATGTCCGGCCCATCCCTGTCCCACTGTGGGATGGCAGGCAGCTCCGCAGAGGCCCCTCGCCGCTCTCCTTCCGCGCAGCCGCCGCCCCTGCACGGGGCGTCTTCCTCGGGCGAGGCCTGGCTCAGCCGGATGAGGTTGCTGAAGTTGGACTTGGAGCCTGTGGGTGGCTTGTGGGCCTTGCGGTGGCCTGCCAGGCGGCTGCCGTAGAAGGCCAGGATGGGCTCGGGGCCGGAGTCGGGCACCCAGCGGCCGGCAGCGGCGGCCTTGAGCGGGGCCAGCACGTCGGGGACGACGTCGGTGCGGGTCTCGCCCCACAGCCCACTCCCCGCCTCCTGCAGACTCAAGTCGTCCAGCTGATCGATGGCCTTTTGCACGCCCGGTGCCTTCTCCTCCCGGAACAAAGGCCCGCTGCCCAGACCCACGGTCTCCTCCTCCTCGGCCAGACCGTAGTAGGGGGGCCTGTCTTCCGCGGCATCCACGGCAGACATAGGCGTCTTGCCCTCCACCTGCAGGGAGAGGCGGCAGCTGTGCAGCGAGAGCTGGTAGTAGCGGGTGGTCTCATGGGCGCTGCGCAGCTGCTGCATGGACACGAAGGGGTGGCGCAGGGCGGCACTGGGGCTGATGCGCTCGTGCGACTCCCACGTCAGCATGCGCTTGATCAGCTCCACCATGCTCTTGAGGTCGGCGTGCTCCGCCAGCGCCTCGCGGTCGGGGAAGGTCAGCCGACGGACTGCCCTGCCGCCGTTCACCACCTCTATCTGGTCCAGTGACTTGAGCATGTACTTGCGGCGCTCCAGTGGGCGCACCTGGTGGGACGCAGGGTGGGGCAGGGGTTGACATCGAGTCCAGGACTTGGGCCCCAGGTACTTCTGCGGTGGAGCCCACATGTGACCCCCCCAGCGTCCAGTGGGCCCTCCAGCCTGGCCCAGAGCTCTGTCGTGGCTATGAAGTCCACCCACAGGAACCTGGACTTCCAGTTCTGCCCATGATCTGACTTGGAGCTCCCTTGCATCTGGGGGGGCACACCTGCTCACTAACACCAGAACCCCTCTAGTCTAATCCAGACCCCTCCTACTGCTGCAGGAAGGACAGCTGACTGTGATCTCTGGTCGTCCTCTTGTCTACCCCAGGGGTCTCACTGACCCAAGTTTCACACCTTGCCCCCGCCCTCCAGTCCTCCCTCGAGCCATGGGTCCAGCCCCTACCAGCAGCTAGCAGAAGGGCTGCCCTAAACCTCTACTGCTCCTCGGAATCAAATCCAGATCCCTCTTGCTGCCACAGCTGATCCCCACATCTGATCCTGGCCCTCAGGCCTCCGAGGAGTCAAGCCCAGACAATTCTTGCCAAATTCTTTAACCACGACCAGCTCGGGAGTTATCAGAGGATCTGCCATATGCTTTCGGTCCCACCTTTGGTCTCGCTCAGACCCCTCTCTCGCTGTGACAGCTCCCACGGCTGGTCCACACTTCCAGTCCTTTCTGCTGTCTCAGCCAGATTCTTGCCACACAAGTCTGATGACCGCAGTCACAGAGGTGGCAGACAGGCTGCCCTGACTTCCTGGGGTCTCCCTCGGATCCCTCTGGCTGTGACAACCCCCCCAGCTGGCCCTCAAGTTTCCAGTCCTCTCTGAGATCTAACCGAGATTTTTTTCTTGATGCTGCAAGCTGCCTCGCCGACGGCCCTCACCCCACCTGCCCCCCTACCTTGGTCTCAGCCAGGTAGTCGGCCGAGGACTTCAGCTGCCAGGGGTTGGCGGCGTCGGGGTGAGGGTTGCGCTTGAAGAAGTGGTGGGCCTTACAGGCGGCGTGCAGCACGTGGGGCTTGGGCAGGCCCTGGGTCTCACAGATGTAGCGCACCTGGTCGTACTCGTTGTTGCCTGGGTAGAGGGGCCAGCCCAGGTGCAGCTCAGCCATGACGCAGCCCAGGGACCACACGTCCACCTTCTCACAGAAGGGCAGCCCCAGCAGAATCTCGGGGGCCCGGTAGAAGCGAGACTGGATATACGGCCCCTTGACGTAGCGCACCTCGCTGAATATGCTGGCCGAGCCGAAGTCGATCACCTGAGCGGAGGGAGGGAGGGAGGCAAGTGGGCCGGGACAGCCGCTCGATCTGAGCCTCCCAGGCATCTCTTGCCGGTGTCTTTCTGCATCTGCCATCTGACTGTCGCTACATCTGTGAATCTTGATCTCTTGTTTACGTCCCTGTCTGTCTCCTCCAGCCTTTGTCTCTGGTTTGCGTACTTGTCTCTCTGTCTCTGTTTGTCTCCACTAGAACTTATGTCCATGAGGGTTAAGATCTGTCTCTTTCTCTCTCACCCCATGCCTTGTCCATCAGCAAATCTTGCCAGCTGGGTAGAGGGGCCAGCCCAGGTGCAGCTCAGCCACGATGCAGCCCAGGGACCACACGTCCACCTTCTCAAAGAAGGACAGCCCCAGCAGAACACCTTCTGTTCTGCCCACTCTGCATCCCAGCCGCAGCCCCACCCTAGTCCTGTCCTCCCCCTGGCTAGACTAATGTAGGCCTCCTTGCGGGTCTCCCTGTTCCTCCCTCTCCCTCCAGTCTGCTTCTCACATGCAGCCCGAGGGACCCTGTGACCACCTAAGTCAGATCACATCCCTCTCCTGCTCAGAATCTTCCTGTGGCTTTACCACATCCTGTGATAAAAGCCAAAGTCTTCACCCTGGCCCACAAGTCTCCAACAATCTGCCCGGTCCCCTCTCTGCCCGCACCTCCTCCCACCTTCCCCCTCACTCACCCAGCTGCAACCACACCAGCCTCTCGCTCTTCCTTGAACAAGCCGGACACATTCCCAGTTCAGGGCCTTGGCACCGGCTGTTCCCTCTGCCTGGAATGCTCTTCCTCCGGATGTCCACATGGCTCCCCTCTCTCACCTCAAGTCTTTACTCAAATGTCACCTTCTCAGGGAGGCCGCCGCTGACCACACTATTAAAAACAGCACACCCCTCCCTTCCTATCCACCTCCCTAGCCCTCTGCTTTTCTCCATAGCTCTTAACACCATTTCACGTACTATGTATTTTTACTTTTGTATGGAGTTCATTGTCTCTCTACCCAACTAGGATATCAGTCCCACAAGGGCAGGGATTTTGTGTGTTCACTGCTGCATCCCTAGATCCCTAGAACAGTGCCTGGCACACAGTAGGGGCTCAGTAAAGAGTGAATGAATGAATGAATGGGCTTTTTGTTCCTGTCATTCTCTTTCTTTCTGACTCTTGTTGGTATCTCTCTCTTTTCTTTCTTTGCCTCTTCGTCACTTGTCTGTGTCCCTCAACTCTCAGTGTCTCTCTCTGTCCCCATCTCTGGGTCGTCCAACTAGAAGGACACCTCCCTGACACCCAGGTCCTCTTCTGTCTTCACCATCAAACATTGTTAACACCCCACACGGGCCCCTGGTTCATACAGGTGCTTGATGAACACCCGTTGAACTAACATCGTGAACGACTGAAAGCCCTTGTCTCTCCCGATGCCTCTGGGGCGATCTGCCATTTTTCACTCTGAATCTCTGTGACTCTTAGTCCCTCCCTCAGTTTCCCTCCCTGAGTTTCTCTGCTTTTCATTCAGCTATCCCTCACCTTCTATTTGCAGAAGGCAGTATGACGAAATGGTTATTAACCTGGACTCTGAACACAGATGGCTGGGGCCTGAATCCCAGAGAGCTTGACTGACCCTGATCATTCAGTCAACGTTCATGGGATTCATTCATTCACTCCACAGATGCGGTAGGGGTGCCAACACTGGCCAGGTGTTGTAGCTCTGTCCTGTCTGTCTCCTGCTATGTTTGTGGAAAACCTTCCTTCCTTGGGTCTCTAACCCTCCATCTGTTGGGACAGAATGATCTGCCTTTTCCTGTCTCTGTATCTCCCTGTGTCTCTGTCATTCATTGAGCACTGACTCCAGGAAGGCGCTGTGCTGGGAGATGCCGGGGACACGGTGGTGACCAAAATGCCCCTGGCTCCGCCCTCACGGTGCTCCTAGTTCAGAACCATCACCAGACAGAAACAAACCCATAAGCAGACAGAGGGGTCAGAGCCGGGATGGGGGAATCCAGGGACCCGAGACAGCGCAGAGGAGATGCCTGTGTGCCCAGCACAGGGTCAGGCCCAGAGCAGGCGTTCGGAAAATGTTTGCTGATGAACAAACTCATGAAGAAGGATGCCGCTGCCATCCTTCCAGTCGCTCAGGCCAACAGGCTTTCATCCTCCCTCAGGCCCTCTCTTCCTCTCTCACACTTCACATAAGATTTACCAGCAAGTCCTGTTTTAAAATCTACCCTGAGGGAATCCTCTGGCGGTCCAGTGGTTAGGACTCAGCACCTTCACTGCCGGGGCCAAGGTTCAATCCCTGGTCAGGGAACTAAGATCCCGCAAGCCTCGCCTTGTGGCCAAAAAAAAAAGAAAAAAAAAAAGATCTACCCCAAACCCACCCCCATCCCCGACCCGGACTGGGGTGGTCACCCCGCACTGTCTTTCCCCCGACTGCAGCCAGAGGGAGCCTGTGAACACCTGTGTCCAATCACAGCCCTCCTCTGCCCAGGATCCTCCTGTGGCTCCATCGTACACAGAATAAAACCCAAGTCCCCTCTGTGGCCCACAAGGCCCTGTACGACCAGGCCCCATCACCTTCCTGATCTTATTTCCTCCCTCTTCCCCTCAGTCACTCCATTTCAGCCACACTGGCTTCCTCAGTGCTCCTCAAATACATATACTTGGTCCACTCCTACCTCAGGGCCTTTGCACTGATTCTTTCTCCCAGATGTCGACACAGCTCCCTCCCTCCTTCAAGACTTCCCTCAAATGTGACCTTCTCAGGGAGGCCTCCCTGACCACAGAGTCTAAAGTTTTACTCATCACCACCCCACCTCCTCCTCCTCCCTACTTTATCTTGTCTCCTTCTCACTCATATACCTTTTTTTTTTTTTTTTTTTTTTTTGCGGTACACGGGCCTCTCACTGTCGTGGCCTCTCCCATTGCGGAGCACAGGCTCCGGACGCGCAGGCTCAGCGGCCATGGATCACGGGCCTAGATGCTCCGCGGCATGTGGGATCTTCCCGGACCGGGACACGAACCCATGTCCCCTGCATCGGCAGGCGGACTGTCAACCACTGCGCCAGGGAAGCCCTACCATATTTTACTCGTTTACCTTGGCGACTCTATCTCCCCCACTAGAATGTCAGCCCCACAGGGACAGGACTGGGCCAGAGGAGCTGAGCTAAGAATTGAACAAGGACGGGGGGACCTCAGGGCTGAGCGGGAGAGGATGTCAGAATTGGGGTGGGGAGACGGGGATTTCAGAGCCAGGAGGTGGGGAGAGCCATCATGGCCAGGGAGGGAGAGACCTCAGGGTTGGGAGGTGGGACAAGGGGAACCTCAGCCTCAGGAGAGTGTCCAGGGCTGATGGCCATGCTCACCTTGACCCTGAAGGGGCAGCGAGTCTGGTCCACCAGCATGATGTTCTCAGGCTTGAGGTCGGCGTGGATGATGGCTAGCTCCTTGAGCCGGGCCAGGGCTCTGAGCACCTGCAGGGTGACCGTGCGGATGTGGCGGGCAGGGAGGGGCTCAAAGTTGTTCTCCTTCTGGAATTCGAAAAGGTTTTGCTCCAGCAGTTCAAAGACCAGGTAGAACTTGAGGGCGTCGTGGAAGAACTCGAGGAAGCGGATGACGTGGGCCTCCTCCGGGTCCAGGCCCCTCATGCAACGCAGCAGCTTCAGCTCGTTCTTGATGATACGGTTGCGGTAAGCATCGTTCTTCAGGATCTTGATGGCCACCATCTCGCCCGTGCTTCGCCGCCAGCCCTTGGCCACCTCCCCGAAGGTGCCCTTGCCCAGCACCTCGATGATGTCATAGCAGTCAGTCTCCGACTGGATGGTGGCCATGGTTCCTCTGCCACCAGACACTGCCCTGCCGCCACCTCCGCCCCACGGGCTCTGCTTCCGAGGCCTCCCGCCCTGACGCTGGCCCCGAGGCCTCCCCAGTGGGGGAAAGAGAACCGCACTCGTGCCTTGCCCTGCGAGGTTCACCCCCACCTCCCTGACAACCCCCAGACACCTGGGCTGCAGAGCAAGTCTGCCAGGGGGTGCACTCCTACCCCGAAGACCTCCTGGCTTGGGATGAGGGGCCCCAAGCCCCCCTGAATGGGTTCCAGCGTTGCTAAGTGGCTCTGGTTCTGTTGTTGGAGACCTGAGCCCCTGGCTGGAATGGGGGGTGAGGTGGCAGGTAATGCCCCCTCCCCCCGTCCAGTGGCGGAACCCTAGAGGGGCTGGACAGGAGAAGGGTCGACGGAGAGGCGAGTCTGATCGTGGGCCTCGGGCATAGAGGAATGGGACATTCCTAAACAGAGGTGAGGAACGGCAGGCTTCCCGAGCTAGGGGATTTGTGTGTGCGGCTGTGTTCAGAAAACAGCTGCCCCCCTGCCTGTGGCTGCCCTGGGGAGGCGTGGCTACAGGGGGGCCATGTTGCAAAGGGTCTTGAATGCCAGGCTAAGGAGTCTGGACTTTGTCCTGAGGGCACTGGGGAGCCACGGAAGGACTTTGAACAAGGAAGGGCAGGTTCAGATATTTCTTTATTTCTTTATTTAAATTTTAGCTGCGCCACGCGGCTTGCAGTTTCTCAGTTCCCCGACCAGGGATCGAACCCGGGCCACAGCAGTGACAGAGCCGAATCCTAACCACTAGGCCACCAGGAAACTCCCCAGGGTCAGATCTGAGTATCAGAAAGCTACTGTGTGAAGAAGAGTGGATTGGAGGGGGCAAGAGTGGAGGGCCCCAGCCTGCAGCAGGGTCCAGGTGGGAAGGTTGGGGAGGCGGGGGAAGAGGCAGATGGATGAGACACACAGGAGGCCAGGTTGGGGGGAAGGAGGGAGCCGTGCAGGGCTCTGGCCCTGAGAGGAATGGGACATGGACCGGGAGCAGTTTGGCAGAGAGGACGTTAGGAAATTTAACATTAAAACATTTAAAAGGGTATTGAGTGTTGTTGGGTTGTTTTTTTTTTTTTTTGCGGTACGCGGGCCTCTCACTGTTGTGGCCTCTCCCGTTGCGGAGCACAGGCTCCGGACGCGCAGGTTCAGCGGCCACGGCTCATGGGCCCAGCCGCTCCGCGGCATGTGGGATCTTCCCGGGACCGGGGCACACACCCGCGTCCCCTGCATCGGCAGGCGGACTCTCAACCACTGTGCCACCAGGGAAGCCCGGTTTGTTTTTTTTTTTATTTTTATTTATTTATTTTGGCCATGCGGCTTGTTGGAATCTTAGTTCCCAGATCAGGATTGAATCCAGGCCCTTAGCAGTGAGAGCACAGAGTCCTAATCCCTGGACCACCACCAGGGAATTCCCCGTTCTGAGTGCTTTAGAACCCTTATCTGATCCTTACAATATACATCTCAATACCTCTATTTTATGGAAAAGAAAGTAGAGGCCAAAAGAAATTTTTTTAATGCCTAAGGTCACCCAGGTGGGTGCCAGAGACAGGCTTTGACCTTGAGCAGTCTGGCTCTCGAGCCAAGCTCTGAACCACTGGACACAACCTCCTAGTGTCCAGGAGATGTCAGGGGGGTGTGCAGAGATGCAGACGTGCACTGGAGGCCCGAGTGGACCCAGGAGAGATTTGGGGAATTATCAGCACAGAGGTGAGGAGTGGAAGCCGAGGGGAGGGCGACATGGCCCAAGGAGGGTGTGGGGATGGATGAGGGCCTGGGAGGAGCCCTGAGGGCCCAAGGGACAGGAGGAGAGAGAGAAGGAGTGCGGGGGAGAGAGAGAGAGAGAGAAGAGAGCGCTCAGGAAGGAGGAAGGAGCCCTGAGAAGTCAGGACACGGGAGACAGAAGAGGCCCTGAGCGTGGCCACAGACAGGCCACTGAGAGGAGGAAAACCTCAAATGCTGGGGGCCTGGGCAGGGGGTGCGCACCAGGAACTCCTGCCATGTCTGGTACGCATGAAGGGGAAGCGTGTGATGGGTCGTGAGTGACCCAAGGCGGGGTCGGCTTGAAGGAAGCCAAGTGGGGAGTTTGGGACAACTCAAGGGCACTGATCTATAGCCCTTCTTCCTCTAGAATGGGAGGGCGGAGATGTGAAGAGAGTGGAGGAGTGGCTATAGTGGCATCAGGGGGAGATTCGGGACTAGACAGCTTGTCTAGGGCATCTCAGAGAGAAATGGGGGAGCCTGGGGACCCTGGAGGGGGCTTAGGGACTTGGATCCTGAGTGGAGATGGGTCCCTGGAGGCTGAGGTCCAGCCCCAGTAGGGGCTGAGGACCCTGGGACTTAGTCCTAAGAGGGCAGCCGGGTGCCTGGGGTGGAGGCCCTGGGGTTGTCCTGGCAGGAGTGGGTCCCGCAGCACAGGCAGAGTCTCCCGCAGAGGGGTCCCGCAGCTGGGTTCTGCTGGGGAACTTCCCCAGCTCAGAGGCCCCTGGGAATTCTGAAGGGCTAGGACAGCCCCCTCCCACCAGGCCCACCCCAAGGCCTCCCAGAGTCTCCTCAGACCAGGGGTGGCCTGTCTCACTGCACAAAGCATCCTTTCAGGCCATCCTCAAGGGACTCCTTTCTCTGCACCCGCGCCCCACCCCCCAACAAACACACACACAGAGGAGACCTGACACAAAGCTACCTCTGGATTATTTTATTCACATGGCTTGGCAAGATACGGGCACTCCTGCCAAAGAGTCAGGCACGGACTCCCCGGCCCTGACCCGGTCAGTCGCCCGCCTCCCAGCCCTCTGAGGGTTAGTGCTAGTTATCTCACACACAAAACGAGGAGGGGGATGGGAAGACGGGAGGGGAGTCTCCCTCTGCTGAGGGGTTTCAGATGACGGCAGCCTGAGCCCCCTCCATCCTCGTGGGGCCTGGAGGCCCCGTCTCCGAAAACCCCACGTTGGGCAGCCGGACCCGGAATCCACCTTCCTCCTGGGCCTTGGGGCTTAGGGACACCCGGGGGAAGCGGAACTTGGGTGACTTCTCCCCTCCAGGTGACTTGGGGGCCGCCTCGCCCTCCTGCCCCCGAGGGGCCTTGGAGGGGGTAGTCAGGCCCACACGGGGCAAGCGGACGCGGACGCGGCCCCGACGCCCGGAGGCCCCTTCCCCGCAGCCCTCCTCTTCCTCGTCCTCGGGGCTGGGGGAGCCTTCCCCACTGGCCGCCTCGCTCTGGCTGAAGCCCACGCGGGGCAGCCTGAGTTTTGGGTTCTTGGCCTTCTCGGACTCCTCAACCCCCTCCTTGGCCCGTGCCAGGCTGAACCGGGGCAGCCGCACCTTGAGCTTGTGTCCGGCATCCCCCTCGCCCTCAGACACCTGGTATTCGGCATGGCTGCCCACAGCGGGCGGGGAGAGCTCCACGTCAGGCAGCGAGAGGCGGAAGGGGCACTCGGCCCCTGGGGGCTGGTCCCTAGGCCCCTCACCCCCCGCCGCATCCCTAGCCCCCAGCGTCGGCATCTTCAGCCTCAGCCCGCCCTCACCTGTGGCCGCCTCACCCGCCTGCCCCTCTCGGCTCAGCCCCACGTCCAGCTCAAGCTGGGGCACTGTCACAGCGGGCATCTTGAAGACACCCTCACCCTCAAGCGGCTCACCACCCACCACCTGGGCTCCAGGTAGAGACAAGGTCACCTGAGGCACCTGGATCCTATAGCCTGGTGTGCCCGCTGCTGGAGGAGGTGCATTCTTGTCCTGCTGCCCGGGGGTGGCACCCAGGTCAGCCTCCCCAAAGCTGGGCAGCTCCACCTGGGGCAGGGAGATGCAGAGCGGCCCCCTCGGCCCCCCATCCTGGCCCTCAGTGCCCACCTGCCTGGTGGCGGACATTTGCCCTTCCTCCTGGGCCCCCAGAGTAACCAATTCCACCTCAGGGATCTTAAGCTGCACAGCCGTGGACTCTGGCTTTTCCCCGGGGCTGACTCGCCCCCCCTGGATTTCTGCTTCCTTCCCTCGAGCCAGCCCAAAGGAGGGCATCTTCAGCTTGGGCATCTTCACCCTCGCATCCCAACCCCTGCTCTTGCCCTCCAACTCAGTCGCCCCTGGCACTAGTTCTCCTGCCTCGCTGTCCCGGCCTCTGACCCCAAACTTGGGCAGGCTGAACCTGGACCCCTTGAGCTTGGCGTCAGTCCCTGCCACCTCCACCTTGCCTGTGGGCAGATGGGAATCCAGGCTGAGCTGTGGGATGGACAGATCGAGGGCGGGCAGCAGGCCTGACTCCCCCGTCCCTCTGGCCTCCGCCTCGGTGCCCACCCGAGCCTTGGGGAGTGAGATGGCAAACTTGGACACCTTTAGCTTGGCGGCTCGTCCGGCCCCCTCAGCCTCTGCCTTGGTCACCTTTGGCCCCGAGAGTCCAAACTTGGGCAGGGAGAACTTGGAGGAAGGCTTGACTTTCACCTCCGTCACCTCTACTTGCCTTTCCTCAGCCTCCACTGTGGGCAGCTGTGGCGTGACAATCTCAACGGAGGGCAACCAGAAGGCCACTTCCCTGACCCCTGCTGCCACCCCAGGGGCTTCTGACTGCTCCACCTTGCCCACGTCGGCTGCTGGGACCTGCCCCTCCAGGCCGAAGGCCCCGGGCAGGTCTAGTTCCACTGAGGGCAGTGTGAGAGGGGGGACGCCCACACGAGCCTCGCTGCCCATCTCTGGCTTCAGACAGGGAAGTGTCACCAGCTTCCCCGAGACCTCAGCACTTGCCTCATCTGGCTTGCCGCGAGATGGGGACTCTGCCCTCCCTAGCTTGGGCATGGTCATCTTGGACATCTTGAAGCCAGATTCCACCCCCTCTGCTTCCTCTGCCCTGGCAGCTTTCAGCTGCACCTCCGGAGCCTTGGGCAGCTTCACCTCAGGTGCCTTCGGCAGATGCACATCCGGGACCTTTGGCGCCTGCACTTCCGGCAGCCGCATCTCCGACACCTTTGGCAGCTGCACTTCCGGGAGGTGCACGTCCGGCACGACCATCTCGGGCAACTTGGGGAGTTTTAGCTCTGAGACCTTTGGCAGCTGCACTTCCGGGAGGTGCACGTCCGGCACGACCATCTCGGGCACCTTCGGGAGCTTCATCTCGGGGACTTTCATCTCCGACACCTTTGGCAGCTGCACTTCCGGGAGGTGCACGTCCGGCACGACCATCTCGGGCAACTTGGGGAGTTTTATCTCCGAAACTTTTGGCAGCTGTACCTCTGGGAGTCGCACCTCTGGCACAGCCATCTCGGGCACCTTCGGGAGTTTCATTTCGGGGCATTTCATCTCGGGTACCTTCGGCAGCTTCAGCTCCGGAACTTTCGGGAGCTGCACTTCGGGCACGGCCATCTCCGGCACCTTTGGGAGTTTCACCTCAGGGACTTTCGGCAGCTGCACCTCTGGAAGCCTCACCTCTGGCACGGCCATCTCCGGCACCTTTGGGAGTTTCATCTCTGACACTTTGGGGAGCTCCACCTCTGGGAGTCGCACATCTGGAAGGGCTGCCTCAGGCATCTTGGGGAGCTTGACGTCTGGGGCCTTGGGGAGCTTCACCTCAGGCCCCTTGGTCTCCTTGGCCTCAGGCGGCGAGACCCCGATGCCAAAGGAGGGCATCTTGATGGTGGGCAGCTTCAGCTTGCTCTCAACGGCTTCAGGGGCAGCGGGCCGGGGCTCCAGGAGAGAAAGCCCAAAGGTGGGCATTCGAAGTTTGGGCCCCTTCACCCTGGCCTCAGGGCTGCCCTTGGCCACCTTGGCCTCGGCAACTTCTTTTGCTCGAGCCCCAAAGCGGGGGAAACTGAGGCGGGGCATCTTCAGGGCCACCTCAGGCGCCTCTACTTGGGCTTCCACCTCTGCACCAGGCAAGGCCAGGTCCACCTCCACTGTAGGCGCTGCCACGTCCAGGGTGGGCACCGTCACTGCCGCAGCCCCTTCCCGGGTCTCCAGACAGGGAAGTGTGGGCAGAGTGGGTAGCGAGGGCAAGGTGGGCAGCTCCACTTGTGGGACCTGGATCCCTCCAGCCGTAGGTTCCACAGCAGGTGCAGCTGGGGCTCCCAGCCCAAGGGTTGGCAAGTGGAGGGCAAAGCCACTGACTACCTCTGCTGCAGGGGCCACCTCCCCCTTGGGGGCTGCGACCTGGGGGACACCCACCTCAGCACCCGGCAGCCGAGGCCCAACCAGCTCCACCTGGGGAGCTGTGAATCGGGCTCCTGCAGCCCCCTCGGCCTCTGCTTTGGCCTTCCTGGGGGGAGGAGCTGCAGCGGCCAGTCGGGCTACCTGGGCCTCTTCGGCCACTTCTCGGACACGTAGCCGAGGCAGCTGGAGGCGCCGGCGGGTGGGGGCAGCTGGGACAGGACCTTTGACAGCCTCGACTTTGAGGCCTCGACGCAGACGGGAGAACTTGGGAAAGGAGAATTCGACGTCAACAGGGGCCAGGTCTGCAGGGACCCCCAGGGCCCCGGGCACCACCATCTTCTTCTTCTTCACAGGGGACAGACTCTGGATGTTCTGGGGAGAGAGGAGAGAGGCAGCAGGCGGTGGGACAGTGGGAGGCCTGGGGTGGACGGGGGGAGCCCCACGTGGTTATTTTACCAGGCTGGGGATGTGCTGGATTGAGCATCTTGTCCCCAGAACACCATCCCCACTTCCTGCCTGTCACTTCACCCTTACTGCCCCAGAAGGCAAAGACTTTATTTAGAATCTTACAGTGAATCAACAGGAGTATAGAAACTGTGACCCAAGACTTCTGGCTCCTCCTCCAGGATTTTCCCCTAAACCCTCGCTCTAGAGATGGGGAAACTGAGGCCCAAGGAGGGGAAGAAAGCTGTCAAGGGTCACTCAGCAGTAAATGAGCTGCCCTCAGGCTTGAACCTGGCCTCTCTGGTTCAGAGCGCCCTGGTTCAGGACGCCTGGCGAGGTGGGTGAGGGTCCTGGTTTGGGATGAGTGGGTCTCCCTCCCCAGGGAGGAGTTTAGGGGCAGAGAACAGGAGGCAGTGGATGGGATTAGCGCTGGGTTAGTGACAAGACAGAGGGCAAGGCTGGCCCACCAGTGTGGGGCAGTGGGGCTCACGGCGCAGAGACAGGATCGCTGGGGCAGTCCAGGGCCGTAACCGGGCTAAGCACGCGTACCAGCTTGGCCACCTTGGCCCGCGGGCCCTTGATCTCGTAGCCGGCCACGGTCCCAGGCCGCAGCGCCAGGTCCCCGGTGGGCACAGTGCGCTTCAGGCAGAAGGAGACCTTGTAAGGCTCGGCGCATTGCAGCAGGCGTAGTGCGTCCTCGTACTTGAAGTTCTCGAAGAACACTCGGGCGCTCAGCAGCTGGTCCCCTGCAGGCCAGGTGGAGGTGGGCGGGGCGTGGGCATCTCTGGGCTCCGCCCAGGCCTGGTTCCGCCCACTTCTCTGGAGCCTGTGCAGCGAGGCGCCTCCCAAATTTTTGGCCCCGCCTATACCCGAGCACAAGATTGAGACGCAAAGTTCCTCCTGGTTTGAGGTTCTGACACTTAAGGACAAAGCCACGGCCTCGGCCTTAGCCCCGTCTCCTTCACTGAGCAAATCCAAGCCCATTCAGGTCACACCCCTCCCCCATCCTCACACTTCAGACACTAACTTTGCTTCTTTTACTGAGAGAACAGAATCAGAAGAGAACTTCCAGAAGCTCCCGCCCCATTATTCAACCCTCTGATCCTGTGGCGATTTTCTCCACTCTCTCCCCACGTTATCAATTTGATAAACCATCCCCACTCCCAGCTCTGGTCAATCCCTCCACCACCTTTTCAGGGACACACTCCAGCAATTCTGCCCTCTCTCCCCACGTTATCAATTTGTCCTTCTCGTCTACATTATTCCCATCAGCATACAGCATACCATTCTTTCTCCCATAAGAAAGGCTGTCTTGACCTCACTCCTTCTGGAGCTCCTGCCCCATTTACCTGTTCCACTTGATGGCAAAATTCATTGAGTTGTCTAGCTGCATTATTTCCAGTTCTCCAATTACACTTTTTACATCCCCCCTCCCAGAGCCTTGAACTGCTCCTCTCAAGGTCCCATGCAGTAACCTCTGTGTAGTTAAGTCCAACGGTCAAGTCCCAGACTTCATCTGCTTGAACTCCTGCTTGAGACGCAGCTTCACGCTCCTCTCCTTCATCTACTTGCTTGGCTCGGCTTCCAGGGTGCCACACCTTCTGGAACCTCCCTCGAGGTTCCTTCTCAGCCTCCTGGGATGGTTCCTCCCCATCTCCCAGACCTCTTAAAGACACACAGTCCCAGAGCTCAGGCCTTGGACCTCTACTCTGGTCCATCTCCATGCTACACTCATCCCTTTGGGAAGCTCATCCAGATTCAGGAGTTTAAAGAGCATAAATATGCTGACTCCCAAGTGTATCTCTCCAGCCCAGCACTCCCCCCTCCATCCTAGACTCAAATATCCAACTAGCCCTCCACATCTCCACCTTGGGATCCACCTCTCATCTGACAGATCCAAATTCTATTCCTGGTTTTCCTGCAAACAAGCTCCAGCCCCAGTGTTCCCCATTTGTGGAACTACCAACTCCATTCTCAGGTCAAGAATCCCTGGACACATCCTTGATCCCTCTCTTTCCAATCCACCCCATATCCAGTCCTGAAGGCGCTTCGCCTGGATGGCAAAATGCATTGAGTTGTCTAGCTGCATTATTTCCACCTCTCTGATTACACTTTTGACACCCGCTTCCCAGAGCCTTGAACTGCTCCTCTCAAGATGCTATGCAGTGACCTCTGTGTAGTTAAGTCCAACGGTCAAGTCCCAGACTTCATCTGCTTGAACCCCTGCTTGAGACCCAAATGATATCCAGAATCCAAACCCTTCTCTTCATCTCCAATAACACTCTTTTGGCCCCAAGCATCACCAATCTCTTACCTGGAAAATCACAGTAGCCTCTTTTCCTGCTCCCCATCCTGCCCCCCACCACCCCCAGTCTACTGCTAACACAGCATTTCAACACAGTCAATTCACGTTCTTTCTTCAACTCACAAACCTTCCAGATTAAAAGTCAAAGTCTTCCTCATGGCCTATAAAGCCCTCTAAAAACTACCCTTTCTCTTACCTCTCTGGCCTCATCTCTTACTCTACTCTTCACTAACTCCACTCCATCCACCCTGGCTTCCTGGCTGTTCCTCCAACAAGCCAGGCATGCTCCCATCTTGGGGCATTTGCACTGGCTGTTCTCTCTGCCTGGAATGCTCCTCCAGATGGCCACATAGCTCATTCCCTTACCTTCTTCAGGCCTTTCTGCTCTTCCTGGCTCACCCTATTTAAAAATGCAGCTTCCGGGACTTCCCCGGTGGCACAGTGGTTAAGAATCCGCCTGCCAATGCAGGGGACACGGGTTCGAGCCCTGGTCCGGGAAGATCCCGCATGCCGCAGAGCAACTAAGCCTGTGCGCCACAACTACTGAGCCTGCGCTCTAGAGTCCGTGAGCCACAACTACTGAGCCCACGCGCCACAACTACTGAATCCCACGCGCCTAGAGCCTGTGCTCCGCAACAAGAGAAGCCACTGCAATGAGAAGCCCGCCCACCATTACAAAGAGCAGCCCCCAATCGCCGCAACTAGAGAAAGCCCGGGAGCAGCAATGAAGACCCAACGCAGCCATAAATTAATTAATTAATTAATTAATTAATTTTTTAAAATGCAGCTTCTGTCCTGGCATCCGTAAGCATATATCGCCTTCTAATTTACTGTGCATTTTACACATTTTGCTTAAATATGTCTCTCCTTACTAGAACGTAAGCTCCATAAGTGCAGAGAGTGTTATCTGTTTTGTTCACTTCAGTAGCCCAAGCACCCAGAATAATATCTGGAAATAGAAGGCACTTAGTAAATAGTTGTTGCATGAATAAATCGCGTCAGCCTCAGCCATGTTGCCTAAAATATCCCTTACTAAGCTCCCCTCCCCACCCCCTCCAAGTTGTTAACTCCGCCTCTTTTCTTCAGCCTCAACAACAAAACAATAACTAGCACTTACTTAGTGCTTACCATGTGTCACTTAGCTACCTGCTGTGTTTTCAAACATTTAATCCACATAATAACCCTATGAGATAAGTACTAGAATTAGTCCCATTTTAGAGGTGTAAAAACCGAGGCACAGAAAGATTACAAGATAGTAAACTGCACATCTGGGAGTCGAACCGAGACAATGAACCTCCAGAGCTCCTGCTCGGATCAACCGCAAAGCCGATAGGTAACACAAAGCCCCGCCCCTAGCCCTTAACCCCGCCTCCTGGTCCCGGTACCCAGGGCAGCTTCCCAACACCGCCCCCGCAGGAAAGCCCCGCCCCATGCCCCCGCCCCACTCACCTTCCTGCAGGCTGAGGCTCCTGGCCGCAGGTGAGTCCTCACGCAGCTCGCGGACGAAGATTCCCTCCTTGCCGCCGCCGGCTACGTTGATGCCACTGACCCCTGTCTGCGCCTCCGTCTCCACGATGATCTCCACCAACTCCGCCCGCCTCAGCTCCTGCGGAGGGCGGCGAGGGATCGCCATGGGGCGCTAGGGCGGGACTTCGCCCAGGGCCCGCCATTGAGCTTAAAAGCGGCTCTTAACCGGGTCCTCAGGGGACAGGCGCCTCGGCAGGGCTCAGGCAGGTTGTGCGGGCCCACCCTCTCCAGCATCTCCCCGTTAAGTGAGCACGAGGGCCGCTCGCTCAGTGACACCCCGCGAAAGGGTTCAACGGCTCTCGAGGCTCACAGGCCTGATGGAGCCCCAAAGACCGCTATCGGGAGAGGCGGGGCGCGGGGCGGTGTTGTAGAGGAGGGGCGGGGTGGGGAGGCCAGAGGGAACCTGAGTTGCGACTGAGAGGCGGGCCTGACATGAGGGCGGGGCTGTGCCCCCCCCCCCCCGAGGGGCGGGGCCAGTTGGGGCGGGGCTAGGGTTGGAGCATTTGCGGATCGAGGACGGTTGCCTGAGAGGAGCGGCGAAAGATAGATGGGTGCGGCTACAGTGTAACCGTGGAGGTGCGGAGGGGACCCATAGTCTGTGGACGGGCTTGAACTATGGGGAGGGGCTTTAATAACCGCAGAACAGGGGTGGGATGGAGGATGGGGTCCCGAAGAAAGGGCCGACCCTTAGTGGTGCGGTATGGAGGGGTGCAGGTGGGACTGGCCTCGTTGAAGGCTTGATGTGTGTGACTGTGCCCCATTGTGGACTCTATGACCCCAAGCCCTGCATAACGCCCATTGGAGAGGGAATCCAGTGAAGAAGGGTGCGTGGGTAATGAGTGGTGGGCTGGCAGACGTGGTATTCCTGGTATTTACTGTAAATGGTGCTGACATGGCCCTGGCCCAGCAGTGCACTGTGGGATCTGCACCCGGCCTTCCCAGAAGAAACAGTGAAAGGCCTCAGTTCCACAACCATCCAGGAACCCAATCTGCTGTGTGTCTTGGGCGGGTGGGGGGGACTTTGCCCTCTCTGGACCCATTTCCCTACTGTAAAGTTGGGTAACATGGGTGTACTGGAAGGAGTCTCTGACTGTGAGCTGAGACCTGAAGCAACAGAGATGTGAGGGGTTGCTGTAGTGGGTAGTGCATTGAGGCTGGTACAGACTGGGGTTGAGCCCAGGGCTTGGAGAGGGGAAAGCAGGTCTGGCCGATGCTCCACAGCAGTGGCCCCGGGACTGGAGAGCTGGGCGGAGCATGGTGAGAAGGGGTAGGAAGAGTTGTAGTAGAGGCAGCAGGGAAAAGCATGACCATCACCACCACCCTTAGGCCCTGGGCTAAGCATTTTATGTGTGGCATCTCCTTTCATCCTCCCCGCAGCTTGGGCAGTCACCGAGTAGGACACAAAGGTCCAGAGAAGTGAAGTGACTGCCTAATGCCACACAGCAAGTTAAGCGGTGTGGCCCCAACCTCAGGTCTGTGACCTCAGAGCCCATAAGCCGTCCTGTAGGCGGTGGCCTCCATGCACTTTACTCCCTGCCTGCCACCCCTCAGCCTCAGCTTGACTCCTGTAAAAGGAGACCCACTCTGTGCCTGGCATCCAATGGGATGCAGTCAGTGCTAGTGCCCTGTCTCCATAACAGTGAAAGCCGTTAACATTCGAGGAGGCTTCCTAGGTACCAGGCCCTGGGCAAATGACACAAGTGTGAGTCCTCAGTACCGTCAGAGGTGGGAACCATTGCCCCATTTCACCGATGGGGAAACTGAGGGTTAGAAAGTTCAGGTCATCTGTTCAGGGCTGTACAGCTGAAGTGATAGGGTTGGGATGTAAGCCCATGGGTCCAAAGCCCATGTCTTTAACCCCTACACCATCCTGCCTCTTCTGATGAAGGGTTTCTACTCTATTTTTTTAAGCTTATTATTGTTAATATAATTCCATTATGCTCAATGAATTAGCTTCTTTGAATCTTAGTCTGTGCCAGGTACTGTGTTAAGCACACTACAAATGTTATTTTTTTTTTCTTCACAGTGACCCATAAAATAGGCCCTGCAGCTATCTCCATTTCACAGATGGGGAGACTGAGGCACAGAGAAGCCAGGAAGTGTCTCCTTGCTACCCTAGTCCGTGCTCCCACCAAGGCCCCACAAGTCCTCCTTGCAGGATGTGTTGGGCGCTCACCTCAGCACTCTGGCTCCTGGCCTCCATGGTGCTGCTGGGAGTCACCTGGGCCCCAGGCTCCTGCTTCCTCTCTCCCTTCTGCTGCAGGACCAGTTTCAGTTCTGCATGGAGCAGCTGCCTCTGAGCCTGCAGGGGCAGGGATGGAGGCTTGAGGCCAGGAGAGGATAAGAGGAGAAGGCTGGGCTTAAAGGGAGAGGTCAAGGTGGGTATGAGAAGGGGAGAAGCCCCCCCCCATCCCAGCTGTCCTCTTACCGCTGCCTGGGAACAAGCACCCCCTCCTAACAGGAGCCCAGCCTGGGGTGGTGCACAGTCGTCTGCGGGGCTCGCGCCCTTCCTCTGGGGTCTCGCGCCCTTCCTCTGGGGTCTCGCTGCCTGCCAGGGAGAGACCAGGTCATGAGGCTCCAGACAGGCAAGGGAGGGGCAGGGAGGGGCATGTGGCACCAGCCAGTGCTCACCTCAGGGTCACCTCCAGCTCCTTGGGCCTCCTGGGTCCGGGGCTCTAAGAAGAATAACGTGAGCATTACTATCAGCTAACCCCACTGATTGCTTCCTGAGTGTCTGAGCCTTCCCACACTCTGTCAATACTCTATCCCCAGGAATTCCCTGGCAGTCTAGTGGTTAGGACTCCGCGCTTCCACTGCAGGGGGCACAGGTTTGATCACTGGTCAGGGAACTAAGATCCTGCATCCTGCATGGTGTGGCCAAAAAAAAAAAATAAATAAAAAAAAGGGTACTCTATCCCTATAGTGCAGGTGGGGGCACTAAGGCTCAGAAGACCTTTATCCAAGGTGACACAGCAGTATAGCCAGAACGGACTCCTAGGCCTTTCTGACAGCAGGGCCCCTACGCCAACCACCTCAGCTGACTGAGGGGGCCAAATTCACTGTAAAATCATTATATCCACTGCCATGTACTCCCTGTAGGCAAATCACCTCACCTCTCTGTGCCTCAGTCTCCTCATCTATAGAATGGGAAGAATGAGGGCACCTACCTCTCAGGGCTGTTAGGAGGGTCAAATGTGTTTGTAAATATACAGTGCCAGGCACACGGTGGGCACTTCATAAGCACTTGCTATGATTATCACTAAGAACTTCCTCTGGTCTTGATCTTGTGTTGAATATCCCACGGGGGTCATTGCATGTGGATTTCAGAACACCCCTGTGAGGTCAATACCATTGCTGAGCTTGTTACAAAGAAGACACCTGAGGCTGGGAGAAGGAAAGTCACTTTCCTGGGTCACAAATGACCCAGCCAGGACTTGAACTTGTCGGAAAGCTCCAGCTGCTCCTACAGATAATAACTAATGGGCATTGCGTGGTTACTCTTTGCCAGTCCTGTGCTAAGACCGTCACTTTCCACCTCACCGCAGAAAACCCTAACCCCACAACATTGTAAATCAACTATACTCCAATAAAAAATAATTTAAAAAAAGAAAAAAGAGAAAACCCTAAGCCCTGAGAGAGGCCAGGGACCTCGTTCAAGGTCACACAGCACAGAGGGAAGGAGGTAGAGCCGGGAAACCTCCCCGACAGGCCCTTCTGGGGAAAAGGGGATGGATCCTATCTCCCTCCTCCGAGCCCCCGACTCTGGCCTTGTCCTCCCAGCCCCCAGCTGGCATGCCAACCCGCCAACCCCCACTCCACAGGGAAAGGTCAGGCCTCACGCGGCGCATTCCCTCAAACAATAGCCCATCTGCTGTGCCCAGTCACATTCCGCCCCTGCCCACCCACCCCCAGCTGCACAATGGCCCTTCATAGCCCACCACTGGCCAGGATAGAGGACACAGGGACCCCCTCAA